GATCTATGTAAAACTCCAGCAATGTTGCTTTGCCTGATCCAATGGTATCAGCACAACACAGTCAGTGACAGTGTCACTGTGCTGAGAATGGTCTACCACCCAAATAATATCTTGTCGGCAGAGTCCTATGGAGGTATCTTTGAAGGATAGAGTAGAGCTTGGTGAGTTGAAAACTTGTGTAGCCAAAATGGCTAACGAGTACAAATACAGGGTAGTAAACTGCAACTCAAAGTATGAAGTGGCACTACAGAATTCCTAAAATCACAGGAGCCAAAAAGTGATTCACACAGCTCTATTTTTTCCTGAAGATTTGCATTTGCTGGAATTCTCATCTACTGGCTTTTCTGAGTACACACCACTGGATCTACTTGTTTGGCTGACATTGACCCTTAAGAGCATGCTTATGGAGATATTTGCCCCATAACCTCTAACCAAACTCCATTTCAAATTCCTTGTCATGGTCCCCCATTCACATGTTCCACCAGGAAACACAACCCTCGTTTGATGGGCTTTTGACTCCCACTTGTCTTAATAACACTGACAGAGGCACAAGACAGTGGTCAAGCAGATGTATTCGCATGCTTTGATACTGCCTGTCCTCAGATGCATATTTCACCCCACGGGTGATGCCCACTGGGATGGTTCTTTCCTTCTTTTTTTTTTTTTCAGGATAGGGCTTCCTGTGCCCAGGGGAAATGGGTTGCTTTTCTCTGAGGCCTCTCCAATCCTGTCAGTCAAAGGACACCATTGCAGTGCAGCGGGGCAGGGGGGTTAAGCAGCATCTGTCATCCAGAGGAAAGTGATTGTGCGTGGAAGAGAGTACAGAAAAGGATGAGAGAAATGTGTGTGCAGAGAGTTATTTCATTTGGTAGAGGTGTCATGTGGTTTCAGAAGTATATCTGATATATTCAGAAGTATATCTGATACTATGATACTTATATTGATTACAAAACAATTTGCAACACAGGACTGACAAGACTGTATCATGCTTGTGAGTAATGATTAATGTGACTGTTTGATAAAGCTCTAATTGCTGTCATGATCCTTCATGACAGTTAGAGCTTAAATGATGCGTCATAACATAAATATTAATTGTTGAATGAGGGAAACAATTTTTAGGTGTGCCTCAAGGCTCTATAAATGGCCTAAAACATTCTCACTCAATAAAACTGTACTTTTAGAAAAAACAGTTTTCTCCAACTTCCCGTCCACTTTGCAGGAAGGAATAAGTAGGATTCTCTGAGGCCCGTTGTTAGCCAGCGTGGAAGCGCAGGAAGTAGGAAGTGTGCCTTTTACATCACAGCTGTGGTGCAGGAGGCCAGAAATAAGCTGTGGCACATGGGAGACTAGTGCCCCTGCGCAAGTCCGGTTACACTGGGTCACAACAAGTGCCCAACCTCTAGGCAGTTTGTGAAGGCCCTGCTTCACTGAAACTGCTATGTTACAAGTCCTATAATACATTATGACAGCCTTAATTGGTTATTAATACTCTTCTAACACTTTTAACCAACAGAGTATGTCAAGCACAAATTTGACATTTGTGCTTGACATTGAGTTTTTCTTCTAATTCCTTTTTTTCAGATATTGTAAAACTGTGAAAGTTTGTTTTGCCAATGTAATGATACCTTTTTAACAGACTTTGTGTTTTTAATGCACTTCATAGCAATTTTACATAAAAAAATTCAAGTGTCACATGACCTGTCACTTAAATAGGTGTCAGAAGAGAACGCCGCTGACTGCCTTGATGGAAATTACCATACCAGCTGTATCACGACAACCTCTGCACATTAATAAGGATCAACACTGAAATCAAGTATAGGGATCAAGTATAAGGATCAAATTGTAAATCAAGTATAAAAACACTGTCATCCAATATTCATTCTATTCTTTGCCATACTTTGTAATATTTGTTACTTTGGGGTGACTTTAGTACTCAAAAGCAATCCATAGCTAAAGGTTATTAAATATGTAGTCCAATTAAATCCAAATGTTGCCACTAACAGATAAAATGTATTATTGTTAAATGGTCCCCCACTAGATTTAATTCACTTAGTAGCACATTCCTTCCAAGTTATCCCAAAGTAATTAAATTATTAAAGGCCCCTTATTTCAGAAACAATGCCTTCAATTTTTTCCAACTGTACAGAGTGGGTAATGTACAAGAAAATAACATCGAAAAGCTGACCCCATCCAGTCCAAAATAGTCAACATCCTGGTGACCTGAGACAAGCACGCAGACAATGGATATGGAAGGTGCTTTCAGCAGCAGAATGTTCACGTCCCCCTCCCCTCTCTTTCCATTTAGAAACAGTATTTTAAAACAAACCTCACCAAATGAAAGCCTGTGCTGCTACAGATAGCCACTTTCCGTGTGGTCAGCCCATGTGACCATTCTTCCTCAACCAATGGGGGGGAAGGAGGGGGAACAGGCTGACAGGATATCTATAAGGGCAGACTGGATACTTTTCCTGTACACTGTGTGCTAATTCGGATGGTTTTTCTTGGTCCCCTGATCTCCCAGAGATGGTCACATGCAGGGGTCACACACACACATACACTTTGCAAGATAAAAGAAGTGTGTGGATATATTGGGATATATTAATTTTACTGTTTTGGAGAATACTATTTTGTAAGGATGCATTTTGTTTCAAAGTACAATTAACATTCCTGATAACAGGAGAATGAGATGACCAGGCAGCAACACTGAACATAGCTGCGGAAGTTCTCAACATGAAACTGATTCTCCCATAAGAAAAAAAAAACAGGCACAAATAGATGCAGTTGGGTGTGTTATCCAAAGTTACTCAGGAGACACCTGGCAAGGACATGGAATTGGACTGTGTTTGCATGTAGACAGTGTGAGAGGAAGTTTATGCAGAAAAAATAACATGGGGCTGTGTCTTCCTTGCAAGACCCATAGCATGCTTCCTATCTCACTCTGCCATGAATATTAGAGCCAGGTTTGTTGGATCTGAACTATTCAGAGTGGTAGATCTCCAGGACCAGGGGGATATTTCACAAAGCAGGATTTCTCAGTTAGCCAGATAACTTCAGCCCAAAGATGAAGACTATGCAATGGGAATGTCCCTCAGCTCTTTTACCACTGGAAACGCTTGAATTTGGGCTTAAGTTATCTGGTTAAAATGAGAAATCCTGTTTTGTTAAATACCACCCAGAATTGGGCACCCCTGTTTATACACCTCATGGTGAAAATGAGATATATCACATCAAAATAAGGTCATTGAGTCCATTTTTGTACATTGGAAAAAAGAATAGCATTTCTGAACCTTGCTCCATTACACCATGTGACAAAACTGTTCCAAAATACATTTTGTCCTGTACCTATGATTCAGACCCAGTGCCTGTCTGGATGCTAATGGCTAACTACAAAATTATGACTCATACTATAAGTCTACTGAGTGTGGAATGCATAACTGTGGTACTCAAACTGGCCCTCAGGGACCCCCAGACGGTCCACATTATTGTACCAACCCAACTAGCAATGCATAGGGACAGAGTTAAAACAAAGACCATCTGATGACTTGATCATCCAAGCTATGACCTTCCAATCCATGGTAATTTGAGGTGAGTTCAACGATGAAACGCTAATGTAAACATACCATGGGTGCATTGCACTGTTGCCTCATGGCAAGAAGGTTTGATCCCTGGCCAGGCAACCAGGGTCCTGTGTGGAGTTTGCATGTTCTCCCTGTGTCTGTGTGGGTTTCCTCCCACAGTCCAAAGACATGCAATCAGGCCAATAGGACATGCTAAATTGCTCCTAGGTATGAATGTGTGTGTGTGTGACTGTATATGTCTGTGTGTCTGCCCTGTGATGGACTGGCGACCCATCCAGGGTGTTTCCTTCTGCCTGACAACTGCTGGGATAGGCTCCTGTGACCCAGAAGGATAAGTGGTTTAGAAAATGTGTGTGTAAACATAACATGGAGTTAACAAACACAAACAGGCAGTTAGGGGAAGAAAAACAAGCAGTCTATAGTATATGTGCTGTAATTTAATGGACAATTTAGGTCTCTCTTTGTAGGCCAAGAAAAAAAAAAAAATAAAGAGAAGAGAAAGTTAAGCATACATTCACAAATATATCCCCTGAAGTTCACGATCATTACACAAGACTTAAAAGTACAATTTCAGACATATAGGATTTTAAGGGTCATTGATTAACAAAAGTAATGAGAAATTATAATCATGATTATGCTGCAGACAGCAGTCCATCAACCAGTTCCAGATATGCCTTTACTAGGCAATATCAATGGAGTAAATGCCAAACCTATATTTAAGCAGTGTCAATTCTCTGAAAATACTTCAACAAACGGAAGTATCAAAGGTCCTTGACAGGTTTTGCCTGTAACAGATTTTTATATGTTCTAGAACAAATGCTAAATGTAACTGCATATAGAACCATGATCTTTCAAGCTGGTTTATTTTAGTTTCTAGTGTTTGCACTGCTTAAATACAACCCACATTTTCCAGTACAGTACAAGCAGACAAGATGTAGAGTAAATTGGTGGTAGACATTGACTCACTGACTCAGACTCACTGTAAACTCAAGAAGTAATCAGTTTTTTCCTTATTACCCCAACATTTAAGAGTGAAAAACTATTTAAAGACTGCTTATTGAAAATGAACACTGAAGTTTAACAGGCTTAACAATGTATCAGAAGAAGCAACAGTGCTACATTGTTGATTTAACAAGAGGTGCCTTATTGCCCCTGAGAAGTAACACTAGGGTTAGCACAGTGACTATTTATTGCATTTTTCACCCAAACACATTGCTTCCTTAGTTAACCAAAGGAGGTCACTACCAGTGATAAAAATGTAACCACTTAAATATGAGCAGAATAATGAGCAGAATAATGAGAATGACATTGCAATTAAGAGGTCCCAGGAGGACATCATCAGCCAGGCCTTTGGCATGAATTGTGCTTATTGATTGCGGAAAGGCAATGTTGGTTTCAAAGTGGACTATGTGAGGTAAAATCATGGCATTCACTAACAAAAAGCCACAGAACCACAAATGAAGGCAATAACAGGCTCATCAAAGTGTCATAGGTATCTCCATTGAAGCTCTAGTAACTTAGTTTTAAGGCAAGTTGACACAATATATGAACTGTCTAGAAAATTAAGCTTTAGCATTAGGATTCAGGTGAAGGCTTGGGTTAGCCCCTGAGAAAACAATGGGCAGACTTTATATGTTGGAGGTTGATACCATGTTTGGAAACTGAACACTGCAGTTGTAGAACACACTAGTTCATTTTAAACTGGCTTCCATTACATCTAAATCTCTGTATATATGGACTGCAGCAAAGAGAAGCTAAGCCCCTCATTGGTCTATAGGGTCATCATCGTATTCTGTAGCACCAGAGCAGAGCCTTCTATAGTACCACTGTGAAGCAAATTCAAAATAGTTGATGGAACCTTGCATTCCAGAAACCTAAACAAACAACAATAAGGAGGAATCCCTCTACATGGGACAAAGATCAGGATGAAATGCGAGATGGTGAATAGTATGTCGCCTGTATAGCAGCACCACCATTAAAGAAAGTGATTTATACTACTCTCTTAGAAGGCACATGTGAAGAAGAAAACAAGTAAAGCAGAAACAAAATAACACAACTGTAACAGACACAACCTGTGCAGATTTGCCCCTATAAAGCTTATACAAGACCTATCACCACAAAGACATTCACACCTGGGAGTGTGTTCATGTGCATACCTGTGTTTGTGGTTTAGTACTTTGAAGCAAAGTGTTGACTATTGAATGGTATGTTCGCAGACGTTGGGTCAGGTATTATCTCTTGGTAATGGCCAAGGCAGGAAGGGACAGGAGCAGAGCCAACAAACTGACAGGATCAACTCTGCCTTTAAAACAAAACAGTAAAAAAAAAAGCTCCAACTAAGTGAGGGGGAAAAAAGAAAGAAAGAAAAAAAGGAGGGGGTTGCAACAACTGTCTTAAAGTGGTGACTGTGTGGAGAGGTAACAAGAATGAGGATGTTCAAGATTAATTTCTCTCAGCCTGGAATTAAAAACCCATGCCAAGAGGAAAAAAGGAGGGGAAAAAAAAACATGTTTACTTCTGTATAATTTGTTCTTTCACAGCCAAACCTCAAACAGTTTTGAGAGCTGTTTATTCTTCTTTGGAAAGGCTCTTGTGGTAAAGGCACTGGGGGCGAAATAGTCCTTACTAAATCTGAAAGCATCGATTATTCACTTGACACAGAGAGAGTGTGATTGGGTCAGTGTGGGGGGAGAGCAGTTGATTTGTTCAATCTATCAATAATAAGCTCTCTTGGTTTTGGTGAGAGACTGGTGAATGTTGTAGATGAAGGCCAGTCTTCAGCTTTTCTTCTCCAAAAGTCATTGCAGTCAGTTGAGTTTGGAATGTTGCTTTCATTCATCAGCAGCGCTGGTTCCTCGCACTTGACCGTGCCTGCGAAGCTAAGAAACAGGAAGGGTAGAGGAGGAAAATACATCCCAGAACAAAAAGGAAAGCCATATTAGATATCACCAAACATCCAGACTTGTAAAAGACCAGAGATAAATTTCACCAATAGCTAAAGCAGAAAGTTTGGTTGAATTTTAGGTATGCACAATCATAATCAGCCAGAATCAACCAATATGGACTATTTTGGCCAATCTTTGTAATCTGTGTAAATAAACAATGTTTTTGTCTTCATTAGCTGTGGGTTTCAATAAAAAAGTCTGATAATAATCACTCAAAAAAAGTCCAAATTATCATGACTGGCACACCTATTATTAATTATCCAGAACAACAGTTTTAGCCCAAAACATGTTGGCTTCTTAAAGATAATTGCAATTAATGACTTTAGAAGCTGTTAGTATAACAACATGACCACTTGTGGCATGACCATTTAAAACATGCAATGTAACACCTCTGCCATCTGCACAGTGAAAATATACCAGGCAGGTGTTTTGAAAAGCAACCAACCTCCAGGGAAATAACTTACCCCTAACCTATGGGAATGTTTTTAAAGTAAATTTCAAGTGATAGAAGGCACACCCAATATAAAATGCATTACAGCTGTAATCACATTCATAAAAATCCAATACTAGAAAGCCCAATTCAGCCTTTGTTGAGAAAGTTTAAAAAGCTTTAAGAAGTTTCAAATCTGTCTACCAATTAAATAGAAGAGCCAGCGCTTTTGACTTCAGGATTTGAAGCATGGGAAGTCTTGACAACTTCAAAAAGCCAATTAGCTGCCAAATTCGACGGGCCTAGATCAGAATTCTTAAACAGACAAACTGTTTAAAAATAACCTTAGCCATAAGCAGAGAGGGTAGACAGACCCAATGAATATTCCAACATTCAAGCCATTCTTTACCTCCCTACCCCCACGCTCCTCTACTCTATTCCTCATTTGCAATCATGGCACAGGTGCTTTTCAAGTACAGAATTCCATTTGTATGTTAATAAGCCCTCAAGGAACATCTTGAAGCGTGAACACACACACACACACACACACACACACACACACACACACACACACACACACACACACACAAACACATTTTTATGTTAGGACTATGGACAAGAGTGGACAGATAAGTTAGTGTGCTGCATAGACGGACAGACACACAAATAACGAGTTAGCATCTCAGACACCCGTTTCACCACCACTATATATCTAATTCATCCATTCTTTTATACCAGCCATTCATTCATTCTAGTAGGCGGTTTGGTAGGGGTATTTCAATCCAGGCCTAGTAATTTTCAGCAATGTCTCACACATTCTTTTCTTGTTGCTTTTCATTAAGAAAGCCAGTAATTGCATTGCTCGGAAAGTATCAACAACTTCAATGAAAACTTTTCTCAGAGCACGACCACTGCAATCAGCAGTCATAAACCAACTTGTGTTGAGCTCTGTGTGAGTGATAATTCTTCAGATACATCTGTCTACAACAGCACGAACTTAAAACACTGCACAATGATGTTTATGGCACCAACTGCCAGCTATGATTATTAAACTGCTTCTTGATTACAGTTTAAACAAAATCATAGATAATAAAAGTTTGTTTTTATCCTCAAAAGAACTAATGTTTAATGCTCAAGAGCTGGGTGGTCTTATGGTCTAGAGACCAACAGCCCTGGCTATAAGCCACCGAGTGATTTTTACTCTAGGATGGCATTACTATGCCAAACAATTAGACCCTGGACTGCAGGCTTTATAGCAATCTCACAAAATACACAAGTTCTGTCCAAGAATGGAACTTTCTGTTAAATGAAAACAGAAAGAGAAAGCAGTGCAAATTAATGTATGTTGAAGTTGAGGCAGAAGTTATTTAAAAAAATCATTAGGGCTGTCATTACTGATTATATTAGTAACTGAGTAAACAACCAATTATTTTAATGATTATTCAAGTAATTAGAGTTACTGCATAGCCTTTTGAAAGATTCCAAAACACTTTACTGGAAAAATATTACTTATGGAAGACTTTTTTTTTTTAAGTCTTTAAAATAATACTATGTAAAAATGTACTTAAAAAGGTGTTTATACAGCTTTTTTTGCACTGTAAGAGAACAAATATGCATTATCATACTGTCAACTCTCAGATAATTAAAACAAATAATCAAGTAATTGTGACAGCACTAACAATCATATATGAGCCAACCAAACACCTCCACCTGTGTGTTTAAAGCTATTTTTATCCTTGCTCCCTCTTCTTCACACCCACTTGACCTAATTCACACTTGCCCTCTTATCAGTGAATAAGGGAAATACAGTAGGGCTGTGTGAGATGTAACCAGAAAAGCCCATTTTAGAAGTGCAATTGTTCTGAGTTTAGTTAGAGTCTACATACTTTTGGACCTCTGGGCATTACAGGCTAGCAAAACAAAATTGTGTTACTGGGTTTATTTTATGGTTTGATTTTGCCTTGACATGGAGTTTTCCACAGTTGCTTACACTCATCACAGAAGGAGTTTTTCCTTATCTCTACACACAAAACTATTTGCCAATTTACTTCCACAAGTAATCAAAATCAAGCACCACTTAACAAAAAAGTGACATGGTTTTGTATCTAAACAATACATACAGCTACAGACTAAACAAGGACAGCTATGCGACCCTACTCACTTATTAGGAATTTTGGGCCTATTTCATAAGTTGGGTTGGGGCAAATACATGTAAAGGAAAGCAGAAAGTGCATTTATTGAGACACATAATGGGTCTTATGAGAACAACAACAGTTCTTACTGTGGATCACTGCTATAACATGTTCAGAAAGCAGCAGTTAGTGATGTTTATTTGAGCTTAGGCTGTGTCTTTTGTAAGTGGGGAGCTACTAAGTATTGACAGCTAGGAAGCAAGATAACTAATCAGCAAATATGGCCACTTTAAGCTTGTATTTTAATAGCTGCATTGTTAATTACAGTGATTTATTTGGTAATTAATTATCAGCTAAAGTTTCATGATCATGACAGGTCTACCACTCAGGGCTACACAATGTATTGTCTGTTAATCATTGGCATATTTTATTTTGTTTTTACACTTGAGTGTTTCATTTCTTTTTTAATGGCAGCGCATGCCATATGAACACAACAATAAAGATGATTTTAGAAAGGAAAACTTGAATACAAGACAACTGTATTTACACTGTATGTTTGACTCAAATGTTGCAGTATAAATGACATTTGGCAGAACTAAACATAAGGCTCAATATTAGTTTATATGCATCTGACTGACTGACACACTGCCATTTCGTGCTAAAATCTTCATAATGACCACACTATGTGCTAAAATTTCTCTATATGTGCACCCTCTCTCTCACACACAAACGAAATGAGCACTGTGAGAACCCGCACACAACAGTGATTGAACATGTCCATGCAGACATATTAGCGACCCATTCACCACAGACTAAACACCACAGTTAGTATGAATGCATTTAGCATGAATCTGAACCCCTAACAGATGCACTTACACCACATCTGATGAAGCTAGTCGTCTGCTGCTTTTGTGCCTCGCACTGAACCCCTTTTGCGCATCTAGATGTAAAACGACAGCATCAGCAAATCAGGAAGGTTAGTGAGGGGAGACCAACAAAGAGACACCAATGCAGAATCAGAAGGTTTTAGAAGGTACTGTAGAACAAAAGGAAGTGTTTTACAGGAACACTGGGAAGGAACATTGTATTGGAGAAAGGCTCAATGATTGTAGGAAGAGTTACACAGAATGGGGCGAGGCAGACGGAATTGCAGACTCCTCGCTGGATGGAGCTATGAGTGTCTCATTTTTCTGTTGTGTGTTAGTAGACAATATATTTGATCGGTTTTTATGTTCAGAGAATTTCAACATTTTAACTTGCAGCATATAAAATATGTTTAAGGACAGATAGATACTTTTCTTGAAAATGAAAGCTCCAATCAAATTTCAGTGCTAGTTAACACGCTCGTTCCATGAATATCTTATTTATACACAATTGATAAAATGTGCTTCGGATAGGTAGGACAACTGTCAAAGTCAGTAATGGGAAACATTGTAAATTAGCAGGATTTTGATTTAAGAACATGATGCCTGATCATTATACAAGGAAACCCTCTACTACAGCAGGCTTCATAAAACATTTTAAAATGTTGACTGAAAAGCAGAATTGGGGGTGGTGGGGCATTTATTTGTATCCGTGTTATTGTGCATCAGAAATAAAAGTTGATCACAAAAAATTCTTAACCAGAAGGACAAACAGTCAATTCAGCTAAGGAGATATGCAAGCACAAGATGTGTAATATGTGTAATTGTGTCCATTTATTATGTGTATGCAATGTTAGGTTCTCTTTTCATTCTACAGCACCCAACTTCCTTCTTGGGGTGAATAAAGTACAATTAGCTAACTGTCATTCTGACCTCTGTCATTGCTGTCTATGTCAAATGAACGTTGGCCGAGAATGGGATACCTGAAAGTCATAATCCAAAACTAACAAACATACCTCCTCAAGCTCTTTTTGTGTCTCTTCCTCCATCCTCCGAATGTCCTCCATAGTGAGGTCCACCCACTTATCAATCCAGCAGAACAACTGGCGGTGGAAGTTAGTGAAGATTCGTTTCTCTTGCTGAAATGAAAACAAAGAATGCAGTATTGTGCGTATGCCATAAAAACACCATACAGTAACCTTAAGATTATTTAGGGTTGATTCAGAACAACCAAAAAAAAGTTTAATTCAAGAAGTTTTAGGCTGAATTTCATACTTCACAATATGTCTTCTAGGAAATCCTTTATAAACAATGAAATATATGGTTTCGTTCAGTAATTTGGTGAAAACTTAAAGAACAAAGGGAAAGTGCATGCCCTTTCTGATAAATATGCTATGTACTACACTTTCACTAACATCAGACAAAGAATATGTGTGGTAAGCTAAAAAAAAGTGACAATAAATTAATTATACTTAGTAAAGCTACACTGCAGTCTTCTTTGTAAATAATATAATAAAAAGGCCCATCAATTTCAGTGGAAGTTTATTTAGCAGACTTTGTGTCCAGGGACCAGCTATTTGCCCCTACCCCTATAGCTATGGGGATAGTGGGCTTCATTCACTAATATCTTCCTGAGTTCTTCTTAAATTAGCTCTTGAAAAAGGTCCTAACAAATTCTACGTCAGATTCATGACATGTTTTTAAACCACAGTATCATTCGCACCCTTGTGCTCTTGAATGTGTGTAGATTCTGTTCTTAATTAAGAATTAAATGTCAGATTCTTTGTGAAAATTGTGTAAGTGGGTTTTAAAAAGAAAGACCCATTGTTGTGATCCAACACTATTTGTGTATTTCTCTTACATATAATTGTTAAAAATGTGAAGGAATAGCAGATCTCACAGACTCAAACTTGCAAACATACTCTACAGCAGTGTCTTACCTTGTGAATGAAGTTCTCAACCTTGTTCTGCAGGCCCCACCACTTGAACTTAACTGTGACCAACTTGTAGGCACACATACGTGGGCTCTCAGGATTACTAACCAGTTCTTTCTGTGATTTCAAACAATAGAAAGTTTAAGAAATCACATACGGTAATAAAGCAGGATATAGCATACACCCAATAATATGTCTTGCATAAATAAGGCACAAGAGTATGATCATTTTTTATGCGACAGTTTCAAAACTTGGAAAAAGTATATTTGGAAGAGCAAAGAAACAGATTACACCATAAACTCTTTAAAAAAGACTCAAGAAGTGGAAAAAATATGGCAAAAATGTCTCAAAACAATCTCAGTACAGCACTACAGCTCCATTAAAACATAATGCTTTGGAATAGATGATAAAATTATAATCAAACCAGGGGATAGACATCCAGAAGCTGAAAGTGTTTTTTTCTTTCCTTACTTTTATCTCATGAAAAGAAGATGGGGAGGAGTGAATCGGGGGGGGGGAGAAAAAGAGAGCGAAGTGGATAAATTCACGATTTAAGCACGATTTTGCTGCGCTGGCCTCTGTAAGCGACACTGCTACAAACCACACAGCTGCCTTTGTGGCCGAGGAGAGAGTTAAAAAGTGACGAAAGCGACGTGCTAAATCACTTTTCAGCAGCAGGTCAGTTACATTATTAACATCGAGGACCTGCTTGCACACATGGCACTCTGGCACGCTCTCCAGCTGAAAAACACCTGTTTAATTAATCATTTGATTTTTCGCTCTCTGCTAGCTGAGAGAGAAAAAAGTAGCCCATCACTAGCTATGTCTTCATGTTTGATGCTCTGATCAGTCAAATGGAGCAAGAGGGAGTCAGAAGCGGAAGGGAGGGGCTGATACTGCAACGGGCTTAGAAAAGTTCCCGCCACCACAAAATAGGAGAACTTCAGTTGAAACGAATCCCACATGAAAACCAGCTGGCGGTGACATTTTTTGACTCTGCAGCTCAAAGGAGCTGCGCTTTAAGGACTAAAGAGGAAGTCAACGAGGGAGCGTGTGTGCAGAGCAAGATAGAAGATTCTCCTTTGCGCTCAGGACTGGCAGAAAAATTGAGCCTCAGTTTCATCTTTGGCCTCAAAAAGGAAATTGATCTAATTAAATAACAACAAACGGAGGTTACAGGAACTCATAGTAGCTTATTTTCTGCAAGGAAGAGAAAGATAAAACGCTCGTCTCATGAAAATGGAGAAAGTTTCTGGCACTGAAGTAAGGTCTGAAGATCGCCCAGGCTGTGGAGATTCAGTAGTTTGACTTAGGGCAGTAACTATTGGTTACATTAGTAATCAAGTCTTAATGCCAGTTACAAGCTTGATTCAATCCACTGACTATTTTTGACTATTTATTGAGTAAATAGTTTTCTTCTTATATTTAATTTTTAAAAAAAAAAAAGATTCAACAATAACAAACCATGCTTAGCCTTTCAAACATACCAAAAGGGCATAAACAAGGAAGTTTTTAAAAAGACTAACATAAATACTAAAAAGACTAAGTGGCAAAAAACTGTCTAATTTAAAACCAAATAAGTGATTTTGATAAATTAATTGTGACAACCATAGTCGAAATATCAGTGTAAAACGTGCATCGTTATGTGTGCCTTTAAAGCTTTTCTTTATATAAATTGTATCTGGAGACACTAACACATTTAAGGGCAGATTCTTGGCACAGGCCAAGTCTATCTCTACAACAAATTTGTGTGTCACTGGTGTTCATCTGCTGGACTGGAGTGATATGCATGTTTGTGAATGCAGACCATGCCTTGGTAAAGGAGATGATGAGAGGAGGGGAACTCTGAGGAATTTTGGGCTGGAGTTCAGTACGGCTTCTGTGGATCACGAGAAGGCCGACCCCCAAAAACTCCAGATTAGATGGAGGCCAGCCGTTCATGAGCTTGGCGGAGGTCCTGGATTTGAGTTTTGTATGTAGCCGTGGGAAGCTTGCGAAGACCATTCAATAGGTTGACAGGGTACTGCCTTTGGAGCACATGAGACGCTGCCACCACTCATCCGCGATAAAATGTGCAGTTACAGTGAAATAAGATCCAGTGGCAATGGATGGCCACGCAGCGCGTTACAGCCGTCCTACCCGTTTTAGTGACTTTATAACTTTGGTTTTGGTCTCGTTGTAGAGAAAGTCGCTGTGTTAGTAAAATATCTTCGAGATAGGACATGTGCAACATAGCCTGAAGCCCTGTTTCGCAATGACTGAGAATTGCCATGCAGATTGCAAGTCACATAGCAACGATGCGTTATTCGCATTTATAAGCAGCGCAGTTGGTTTCCTGGCAAGTTAAATCTGCAACGAGAGACTGTAAAACAGTAAAAAGTCACAAAGATGAAGTCGCTTCTCTTCCGAATTTTCTCGTTCCACCTTAAATGGTGCCACATTTACATTTACATTCGGCGCCTCAGTCAGAATTTAAGGTGGAACGGGAAAATTCGAACAAGAAACTGGAGAATGAGAAGCAACTTCAGCCTTGTAAGACAGCCGAATGTTAGACATTTTACAAGAAACTGCTCTAGTTTTGAGGAAAAGTTTTCTGGCGGAGATGGGAGGAAAGCGGCTGTAGGCGAAGCTTAAAGCAGAGCAAAGTAGATCTGCGCTCTCATTTATATTGTTTAGCCTATACTAGGACGTTATCACATACTGAGACATACTGGACATTAAATCTTGTTGCTCTCAAGGTGGTTTGATTTTTGTTGAAAGGACAAAATGGCTCTTCTTAACATTTGGGTTGTGACTCCTGATCTAACCTGGCTTTAATGCAGAGGTTGCTGGTCAGATTTCTCGCTCATCCACTTGTGTTTTTGTTATGGGCCGTCACAGACTCTCCGGGCGCTGCACTTACCCACTTCCAAGTTCCGCCTTGCGTTCCGTCAACAATATGTTAGAAATTAAATATTTAGAAAATCAATTTTTGACATTTGTGAATCGATTCAGAATCGTTCACGTCCGCATCGCGATGCATCTAAGAATCGATTTTTTCCCGCACCCCTATTATTGGATTGAGTGCCCAGTAAGGCGACGTAGGAGTGGCATGAGTGCTAGGGATTTAGAACATCCTTTGTTGATTATATGAACGACTGTGGAGTTGTTGGAGTGGATGAGAATCATTCGTCCTTTCCATTCATGTCCCCAAAGGAGTGCAGCAATGACGACCGGGTAGAGTTCCCACAAGGCAGAGGAATCGCCTTATTTGTGGGAAAGCAAAGCAAACTCTGGAAGCCAAGGAGAAGCGAACCAGCGGCCACCATAGAAGCCGCCGAAGCCTATCGAGGGAGCTGCATCGGTGAATAGTTGCAGATCTTCAGGGACTAGGATAGAATCTTCATAGAAGAAAGAGATGCTGTTCCAGTGCTGGAGGAGGAAGAGCCAGAAGCAGAGTTCTGAGATACATGCATCATCCAAGGAGAGGCGGTGTTGGAGTGAGGGAACCGAGGAGGCAATGCTGAGGAGGTGGGAGATAAAAGAGTATCCTTGAGGTATTATTCGAATTGCATAATTGAGATACCCAAGAAGAGAGAGGAGCTGGAGCTTCGAGCAACGAGGCTGCAGCACAAATGGACAGGGCGGTAGTAATGTGTTCCAGCTTATCAGGTGGAAGGGAAGCCTGGAACAAGACTGAGTCTAGCTAAATGCCAAGGAACTCATGAGACGTAGATGGACCCATTGTCTTCTCGGGAGAGAGGGGGACACCGAGACGCTGAAATGCGGAAGAGAGGATACAGAGGCCATACGCAGGTGGGGAGGAAGGGGAGACCACCACGAGGAAGTCATCGAGGAGGTGGAGCACGTAGGGTAGTCTGCAAACATTCAGCAGGATCCAACACAAGGCTTCAGCCAGGGTGTGAAAAATTTTGGGGCTGCTCTTGCAGCTGAAGGCGAGACGAACTGCAAAGTAAAATCTGCCTTCCCAGCAAACTCCAAACAGATGCCAAAAATCGGGGTGCAGAGGGAGGATCTTAAAAGCCGAGACGATGTCAGCCTTGGCAAGCCAAGCTCCATGGCCGGCCTGCTTGATGAGAAATATGGCATTATCCACAGTAGCACAGTGGAGAGAGGATGGGAAGGCCGAACAGATGACGTCACAGTAGATGGAAAAGGCGAGGGCAAACTCAGGAACAGTGAGGACCTTAGACGTGTGAGGATTGGCACACTTGAGGGTAAGAGAAACGTTGCCAGAATCAATGGGGCGGGGAGCACCGGAGGCACCAGAGGGGTGAAGTAATGAGGGGAGACTGACCGGCGCACATTGGAGGATCCGCATATGCAGGACAAAAGAGACGAGAGGCGGACTGAAGAGGTGGGCATCGCTGGGCGGAACAGCAGGAGGAGCAGTATAGAGGGAAAACAAGGAGTTGGTGAGGAGGGGCCATGGCTGAGCTGGCAGTGACTGCATCTGGAGACTTGGAACAGGATGAGAAAATGAGGCAGAAGGGCAAGCAGGGAACGCCAGGAAAGACTGAAGAAACGGGTATGAAGAACAGGGGAGGAGCTGGGATAATGAGGGAATGGGGAGGGATGATAAGAGGAGGGGTTGGGATGATAAAGGAGGAAGCTGAGCCAAAGGTGGGGCAGAAAAAGGCTGGGAAAAAAAGAGGGATGAGAGTCGAGAAATAATGGAAGAAGCAAGGCATGCAATGTGGGCGACCACAGTGTTGGCTGGGCCAGCAACAAAGGCAAGCTGCCTGGGAGTGGGACCTCCAGCAGAGGGCAGCACTTCTCCCGAGGAGGCGTCCGGGGAGCCGGTGACGTCATCACACGCCAGGGCCGTGGGGAAGGTGACGTGGTCAGGTTGCGCCAGAGCAGTGGAAGGAAAGCACTGTTTACTCCCAAGAGACTGCACATACAAGGAGAAAAGAGCTGCCTTAGGCGCCGTACGGGCAAAAGGAATGCGCCGTTACTTAAGGCCTTTCTGCAGTTTAGCCACAGTCCAATTGGAGATAGACGCAGGTCTCGATTTAGAGCAGGAAGGACGTGGACCGGAGCCAGGGGAGCTGGGGGAGCCGCAGGAACTCTCGGCTCTCGACGGCCGCATCGTGTGTGCGGAGACCGCGTCGGAGCAGCGTACGAGAGCTAGTGTGGCGAGATGAGGAGCCAAAGGAAGCCGAGGTAGCAGGCGTGTTGGGAACCGCAATGACGGACTTGAGCCTGGGTGCAGGACGCGCAAATCCCTGGGAGGAAAGATGCTGGCTTTCTCCGAAGAGGTCGTTATCAGAAGCAACAAATGTTGAGGTCCATGACGGGATGAGATAATAGCAGGTAAGTAGCAAGAAGCTGGGTCGGTGTGAAATTTCGTCACGAGTAGGAGGAGTGAAGGACTGCTATTTACAGGAAGCTGTAATTGAGAAGGAGGAGTTTTAGGCGTGGTCTTTCCTCAAACTTCGGTTATGCCATAACTCCATTTCATGTCTAGGTTTAATACAAACTTCTCCAACAAATTTCCTAATCAGTAATCATTAGTTGTGGATAAAAGGTGTAACTTTTTGTGACTAACTATCCAATTTAAAATGATACAAATACTGGAAGAGAGCAGACACCAAATCTCAGGAGATGGTCTTTGTTACAGGCTATCTTTGGAACGTTCAGGAACACTGTTGTTGCAGCAGCTGCTTGCACAATGGTGCATCATTATATTTCATGATACAACTTTTAAATGCTATCTGTTTTCTGGGACAATTTATCTGTGTTTATTCTCAGTGTGACTGGGAAATACATTACATAAATGTATTGCATATTAATCTTCTGCCTTAAAAAGAAATAAATTAGGTTTAATTCTAAAGTTTATTTTGTCTGTATAGTTGTCTTTTCGTCGCAGCCTGTTTATTAAAGTTCTAGCTTTCTTTAAATTCTGGCTGTCCATTTGTAACAAACTGTCAGTAGTCAGTAGTTTACTTAAATCAATGATTTGGGACATAAACACCCACAGATTTACACACTTTTGATGTGCAGCCATCAACCAGGACATGTTTGGCATCCAGAGTGTGACTGCTGAGCTCCAAGACGGCTGCTAGATATACAACATACTTTTGTAATGGTATATAGACACATTTTAGTCTTCCCATCCTTAATCAGCACTGATATAAACAGATACTGTTGCACTGCGTAACTGAGCCTTTCACTTTCTTTCTTACACACTTTTTGCTTTCTGGTTCACCAACACACACACACACACACACACACACACACACACACACCCTAACAAGATGAGCCTCGTCTGCTCCAATCACTGTGATATCTATTAAGCTCAATTAGAAGCAGGATAGAAGTGATTTATCTTCATCAGAGCATAGTCACACACCACTGTCACTCTACCAGGCTCACCCCTACGTGCTCTCTCTCTCTCCTCCTCACATCTTATCTGCCATTCCCTCCGTCTACATTTCCTTCATGGCCTACACCTCCATCCACTGACTAACCACTCTCCTTACTTCACCCTGGACCTTTCTGCACATTTATACACCGTCAAGTATTTCTTGTTGAATGACACCACCTACCGCAGGGCTAATGATGGATCCTTTCACAAATCCAGCTGTTTTTCATCTCTGTTAAATCTCAACTACAGGTGAGTGATGTAGCAAACCGTAACTTCAAAATATTTGAAGTCATTCACAACACAAGATTGTGTATTATTATATTTTTGAAGGGACAAGCTTCACCACCAAAACAGCTACAAAAGAAGCCACGAATACAATGCCACAAATACCATAAACACAACACATTTTGCATTTAACATTTGCAAATAATTATTGCCAACTTAATTGTTATTGTTACATACACTTGATGCAATTTCTATACACTGGTTGTTGTTTACAGGCTCTCTATAATTAGTCTAAATCCCTTCTATGATCTATGCAGTTATTCAGTGTTAGTGTTGCTTGATTTCGACAAAAACAATAAATGAAAGTATTTTTGCCAATGCAGTGATTCTGATTATCATAATTAACAGTCATTAGATCACTTCAACTGACCAGTAACCGCCCATCCTGGCCCTGAAGCACCCCTGCACTACATCTTTGTTTTTTTTTTGGTTTTGTTTTTTCTTTTACAGAAAATAACACACACACAAAAATATTACGGAAAAAATGTCTGTGACCATTATTAAAACCAAAAGAAAAGCGTGGTTATTGTACAGCATACAATAACACACACTCTACTCTGTCCCTCTCTCTTACCTTCCAGTTAGGTCCCAGTGGTCCTCTGCCTGTCTTTGTTGACTTAAAGAGTGCAGGGTCCTCATCTGCTTTGTAATCCTGCATATAATTACATAAAGCAATCATTTTATTTTCTGATCATTTTCTGTGTTTCAGTGCCATTTTTGGAACACAACTAATGACAAAGAAGGCAAACAGTGGCAGACACAATGTGATGAAAAATCAGATACATGGGTTTTTATTGTTGAAAGTTCCTTTACTACAACAACATTTTTTCAGATATATTGTTAAGCTGTTATAGTATATATGTCCGTTATCAGTGTAACACAGGACACATAGCTGAAATTTTTACACTAATAAAAATAATACAAGAGCAGAAACGAGAGGAGGGGGGCGAGAAAGAGAAAGAGAGAGAGAGAAAGACACTCCATTTAATAAACTGGAAGAGAGGAGGAAAAAAAAGCAGCTAAAATAAACTGACGAAACCTTTAATTTTAACTGCACCTCCAGGGCCTTGCAATTGTAAATAAATCATGATGTGCCTGAAGCCAAACAGCAGCTTTTCATGGCTACTATACAGCAAGAGAAGCAAACAAGCAGTAAAGACACACACACACACACACACACACACACACACACACACACACAGCAGAGTAAACTGGCCTGTTTAATACCATATGCACTGTCTGGAGGACAATGCGTGACTATGCACTAATGAGGCTGGGTGTGAATTCATGCAAAGCGGAGGAGGAAGAGGAAAGTGTGTGTGTGTGCGCGTGTGTGTGTGTGCGTAGCTGCACGAAGCCTTAATTACTCTAACTAACTCATCGTTGCGGGCTCTCAGCACAATGCCTGCAGCCATGCCCGAGGCTAGAGCCTGATAGGGCCCACAGACACACAGAGCCTGGAGACCTGAGAGACTCTCTCTACAAAATACACACACACACACACACACACACACACACACACACACACACACACACACACACCTACAGAAGCAACTATAGGCAAAAACACTATCATTAAGAGTTCTCCCTCACTCTCACACACGTTCCTCATTCTCCTCCACAAACACAATTCAACAAGCTGTGGTGAATACTAGTTCATTAGACTAGTTTTGCCACATCCAGCCACCTACATAGACAGTGTGCTTTTGGCGAAGCTCTTATTCATAAGCTTTCTGTCCAATCTTGCCAGTAACATGTTGTCAGTGTCATAAGAAAACAATTGTGAAAACAATTTTTCTGAACCACAGAACCTTCCCTACACTACTTCACACATACAGCATCATAAGCGTCATATGTAATTTTCACCTTTAAACTTCTGTAAATGACCACCCTGATTAATATCTTTTATTACATTGCCTATATGGTGCGATGCATGAAGCTGCATTATGAATGAATAATAATAATAATAATAATAATAATAATAATAATAATAATAAGAATAAGAAGAAGAAGAAGAAGAAGAAGAAGAAGAGGAAGAAGAAGAAGAAGAAGAAGAAAGACAGAAAGAAAACAAAAAAAAACCCCAACAACTCAGCAGTTGAACTTTTTATATATTATTATATATATATAATATATATACTAATCTACAAAATCACACACACACACACACACACACACACACACACACACACACATATATATATATTTCCAAAAAGCAAAAACTTTATGCTTTGCTTATTGCTCAAATCCTGAATTTAAAGTCATATTTTTAATATACATTATAGAAATGATGTCAAAAACTATATATATTTTTACAAGTGTATGGGAAACATCTGGGTCATGTTATGAATTAATTAATTATGTGCAAGAAATGTGTTTCTCTGGGGAAAAAAAAACATCACTACATATCTACTTAAATATAAACTGCCATCTACAGCAGAAACCACTGAGTAACTGAAAAAACTGAGCAACTGAGCTCTATCATTAAAAGGTGTTTAGGTCCTACATAGTCTACTAAACTGCTCATATCAAAGCTCTGAAATCAAAAAACGCATATAAACCTTCGCTGTTAGGAAAATTGTACTAAAATAAATCAGTACTAATCCAAATCTTAGCCTCCGAGTTTAATAATGGGAATGTCACTACACCAACTCACCACAAGGTGGCACTAAAGGACCTTGACTGAGAATGAAACACAGCTGCAATAAAAAGCTAAACTCTAAAAACCAAAGTGGACTGATTGAACTGATTGTGCTGAGTAACTCAACTAGTGAACCAAAATGTAGTCAGCATTAAACAGATATGGTGGTAAAAAAATAAATATTCATGATTTATGAAAATCAAGCCTTAATTCACCACAAATTTCAGCCTTCAGAACTACGTTTGTCAATAAATGATGCTGTACTGATACAAGAGTGGACAGGGGAGGTGAAACAGGACAACAGTACTGAAAACAGCTACCAATTAACCATATTAACTGAAGAGAGGGGAACTTACACCATGGGCTACTTGATCTCTGTCTGCAATGTCAATGGGTATCACCTCCACTGATTTCCATGTGGAACTGTCCAGCTTGTGAACCTATGGATGAAAAACAATACATAATAGGCCAAAAACTGAGAACAAGGTACTCTTTTTGGAATTTCTTTGCCCAATAATCTCCCCAATGTTAGCAACTGTTGTGAGGTTGGACAAGGCTTACAGAATGTTGACAAAAATCCCACCTAAAGACAAACTGTAGTGCACAATACATATATTTAAAGTGCATTATTAATTTCAAATGATTCACCGATCAGGCATAACATTATGACCACCTCCTTGTTTCTACGCTCATTGTCCATTTTATCAGCTCCACTTACTATATAGGTGCACTTTGTAGTTCTACAATTACAGACTGTAGTCCATCTGTTTCTCTGCATACTTTGTTAGCCCCCTTTTACCCTGTTCTTCAGTGGTTTTAAACACTGTGTCCACTCAATTAGACACTCCTACCACAGGACGTTGCCCACAGGACGCTGTTGGGTGGATATTTGTGGTTGGTGAACTACTCTCAGTCCAGCAGTGATACTGAGGTGTTCAAAAACTCCAGCAGCACTGCTGTGTCTGATGCACTCAGACCAGTGCAACACACACTAACACACCACCAGCGCATCAGTGTTACTGCAGTGCTGAGAATGATCCATCACCCAAATAGTACCTGCTCTGTGAGGGTCCATGGGGGTCCTGACCATCTGAAGAACAGGGTAAAAGGGGGCTAACAAAGTATGCAGAGAAACAGATGGACTACAGTGTAATTGTAGAACTAAAAAGTGTACCTATATAGTAAGCGGAGCTGATAAAATGGACAATGAGCGTAGAAACAAGGAGGTGGTCATAATGTTATGCCTGATCTGTGTATTTATACTGTACAAGAGTAAAAGCTCACGTTATGATAATCAGGTGTTTAGTATGTTTAGTAAAGCTTGTTTAACCTCGCAAGAACAGCTATAAAAGAACGCATTTTGATAGAATGGATCAGTCAGTCACTTCAAAAACAATCTAGCAGTGTGAAAGCAAGCACCTCCTTCCTCAACAACCATCTTTTCCAATTTTCATGGGGGGACATCATCTACTCTGACTATGCTATGCTTGCCATGCTGATAGCAGGGTCAAGGATGAGTAATGAAGTTCAAACTCAAATCCCAGTGAGAGTAATAAATCAATCAATCAATTTTAAATCAATTTAATTTCTTTATAATATACAACAAAATTACAGTATGAAATCTAATGTATAGTACTGTGCAAAAGTTGAAGTTAAACAGCCTTTAACTACATGTTATTCATTTTTCACCAGATATAAATGGGATTCCTAACAACCATACAAGACCTGGTAGACCATCGACACCACTAGATTAACAGATTAACAGTACTTAAATCTGATCTTAGAGAATTAAAAGAAAAATCAAGCTCCACTCTTGCATCAGATTTGAATAAATCCACAGGTGTTTCTGTCTATCCTTCCACTGTGAGAGGACAATTCAAAGTTATAACTCTCAAGAAGCTGTTATCAAATAGGTAAAAAAGAAAAAAAGTTGAGTCCAGACCTCAACATTGACTGAGCTTTGGAGGTGTGGGGAAAATAGTAAAATAACCAGATTTCTTTGAAAGACTCAAACCAAATCTCCTGAAAAGAATGGAAACGGTAATGAAAGCAAAGGGTGGACACACCAAGCGATTTATAGGTAATTTTCTATTAAATATTTGTTACTTTTTTCTGACATTGAAAAGTGAACAACTGGTACTTAATGATAGCAAATTATATAAATGAAAGGGTGGCCTCTAACTTTTGCACATTACTTTATACCATGCGTGATATCATGTCATCTTTGACATACCATGTTGTGAAATGCAGTCTTACATCCAAGTACAGGTACATGAGACAGAAACACTCCAACTCACGTTTTCTACTGTTCCAAGATCAGGTTTATGCCATGTTTCAATCTTGATAAAGAAGTCATCCTTCATGTATTCATTCTAGGAGAACAGGCACGGGGGTCTCAACATTATCAAAAAGGTTGAATTAAGCTCTTAACTTTATACTTTCAGTACATCACAATTATAAAAACTGGGTTAGGTTTGCTACAGTGAAAACAAGACTAATTACAACGGTACATACCCAGCTTTAATCAAAACTTCAAAAATACATTTGCCGTCCTATATAAATCCACTAGATGGAGCCAATACTTCATAAAGTCCAAGAGGACTTCAGAAAGCAGTGGAAGACAGAGGGCCATTTCTGAATATTTGTGGGCTCTATCTAGCTCAAACACATTATTTTGTATGGAAGAAAATAATGAATCCTTCATTTTAATCTTAGTTCACTGTGCCCAAACAGTGAAAAAAAAGCACAAACAATATTGAAAAAAAATGTAAAAACAAAAAACAAAACGAAAAAAAAAGTACATATTTTGGGCTCCCTGGTGGCTTGGGGGTCCTAAGCTATTGCATGAAGCAAGAAAGGGGACTGAGAAGGTATATCATAAAGTAGTCCAAGAAGTATAAGAAGCTGAATATTTTATTAAACTAAACATTCTAAGGAAAGAGACATGATCTTTTCAGTATACATACCGTTACAACTGTTGCAAAAGGATGACGCATGCAATAGAAAAGAAAAAGCAATTATGCAGAGTCAAAACACATTTAGCACAAACATACAAACTCATTTGTTCAGGAGAGGTCTATTACAGGAAATGGCCAAGATGCTGAGTCAAAATTGTGTCAAAATTATGACAAGCAGGCAGGTAAAGTGGAAACATTTCTACCGGGACATAATACTAGGCTTAATTTAGCTCTTAAATGCTATTTATAATATTTAGAAAACAATATGTTGTTCATAATTAATCTAACTGCTACTACAAACTTCCTCTTGTGAAACGCACAATGATAGGGGGGGGACTAATTACTCTTACTGCCACATATCTCATCAGAAAATGACTCATGGAAAAATGCTTTGCAGCCACCACTCACTTGTTCTGCAATATGGGTAAGCATTCCATGCCTTTTCATGGAAGACCAGAGATCCTTCCGGTGCTATCATCTTCACAAAGCCAGGCACTTTACTATGGACACAGAAAACAAGTCATAACAGAGCCTGCTTAAATAGTTAGTGATCGATAAAGATAAAGTTGAGGATTACACACCTTTTGAGATGGTAGATCTTGTGTGTGTATTGTCCTTTCTCTCCATCTTTCTCATAAGGCTCATTCATCAACACTTCAATGCCTTCACCTCCACCTGTTTCATTCTTACTGGCCTCAGCCACAGAGTACAACTGTCCCACTTGGTACTAAGACACACAGAGACTTTTTGTGAAAATTCATTTTGAAAAGACCATGACTTTCAAAACACAATCTTCAACATAAGAACCAACAGAGCACAGTGCTGTACTGCTTGCATTTTTAGGTTGTCCTTTGTACTATTATAATATGGCAAACAGCAGACACTGGACTTGTGCAAAAGCAGTACTAGGGTCCAACTGACATGTCTGTTAGCTGCTATCGAGGTTCCAAGGATCTATAGATATTTTTGATCCTGTAATGAACAGACTCTAATGTGATGATACCATTCATTTTCTGAGGATTTAATTTACAGAAACTGCTAACCTGACAGTCACAACTTTAATTATGGGGGCTGGAAAATATGAACATACAACATCAAAAACTTCAGATCAGTAATAATATAACACTGCTGACTAGATTTTACAAACGGCTCCATGACTTCCTATTTGTATTATGATTTAAACATTTGTATTATAATGGAAAGCAATAAACTTAAAATTGAACATTTCTGATTGATTTTCTTTTTATTGTATAATTTTAGACATCATTATAAAGAACCAGTGCAACTGATTTTAGTGGTGTTAGCAAAAAGGAACTACTGACCTTAACTTACTTAAAATTACTCAAACTTTCTAAAATATAGTCCACTACCATTTTAGTTTCATGTGGTATGTGCCTTTGTATTATTTTATTTAAATTTTTAAGTCATCATTTTGCATGAGTAATACCACTGACATTTTTGTGACAGTTGTCAGTAGTTTAGCCAAGGTTATCAGAAATATAAAAAGAAATGACAATCATGCATTTCTCTGAATTAAATCTTCCTGTGAGCTATTCACACAAGAAGCAGTTCAGAAAGACCTCCCTGTGTTTGTGTTGGTTTTGTAATCTTTCTTTGATACATTTTGGGACAAAATTTATTAACTAAATAAAAACAATTTGTACTCCTATTTTTAGAACTTTCAAAAGGGATAGTTAATCATTTTATTGCAATTTTTTCTTGAATTTGTCACTGTGTGACATTCCTGTTCGGGTTGCAACCATAAAGGATAGAATTTGCCTCTGCCATGGTGGAATGACCCTTATCTTATTTAAGACTTTGTACATTTCAGGACTTGCAGAATGCCAAACAGAAATGTGACAAAAGCCAAACTATATCAACGGATATGGATATCAGAATTTTTTGCCAAAGCATTCAGCTTGAAAGAGCATGTGCAGATACCTTACGCAACAGAGCTGATTAATCAGTGCTTTGGCAGCTTATGAACCAGTGGAGGCATGGGGAGTTGCATTTCGGTCATTCAGGGTAATGCATCTGGATTAACAACTGCTTAGCTTCTCTTGTTAAATTTTTTGCCCATGTATGGAGAGCTGGGAGCAAGCCTGAATGGTTTCATAACACTGAACAATGATTTTAAAGGCGCACATAAACACAGTGGAGGAGCCATTAAACCACTGTCATAACGGTTGGAGTTAAGCTGCATGTGTGTTTACTTGGCAAATCAGCCAAACAACCCCAGGATCACTGCAGGCTGTTTGATAGCCATTTGACCAAAGCGTTTGTGCAAGAGTGTGCACATATGTATGCATCTGTGTGTACAGGTAGAAATTAAATGTTTACCTGTTTGAAAGTTCATGGACATAAAAGGAAAAAAAAACATCTTACCTCCTCTACGGTGCATGGTAAGACAACACGGCTGCAAAAGAACAGATTGAGGAAGTAAGAAAGAAAGCAAAATAGCCATTCTTCTCTGACACCTGGGTACATTCAGTGTCCATACATATACATTTGTCTCATGGGATATGATTTAACATCTGACATAAGGTTAGAGAACTAGCTCAGAAAAGACACATTATACAATGTATTGTATGAAACTGCATCACCATGTATTGTATCATATCTTTATATCATGACTAGCATGTAAGCTTGTGGCTAGGGTGTTAGCTTGTGGCTAGAGTGTCAGATTGGGACAATATAAAGCACAGCTTAGCTTTTGTTTCAGATATTGCACCCTAATAATGTTTAAGTATTAAGACTCTCATAATTAAGCATACTGATAATTAAAAACACACACAAGTGCATAAGTAGTAGCACAAGGGGTAGTATGATAAGAATGTCAATGAACACTAGCCTTGGGTTATAATAATATTTTTGACATGCCCATGCTTTCACTACACATTTCAGGAAGTGGACTGCACCTGCGTTACACAAGTAGCCACTTGCAGAAAAAGGGGAGGAGGGGATTTCTTTTTTCTCTACAAACCCACCTGCCCTTTACAGAGCAAAGCTTTTTATGGCTCTAGGCTCGCCTCAGTGAGTTAATTACCCATCTACGCAAAACTATGCAATGCAATCCATTTTATGAGAAGTACAAGCATAACATACATACACTTTGTGAATATTGCTTTGGCTTAAAGGGGAATCCAACTGATTTGTCAAAACATTGGCATAATTAAGTAATTATCATTAATCATAATTATCTGAAGTAATTCAGAACGAAACGGTTATGTGTAGGGACACTTACTGACTCCGGTTTTCTTTACAGTGACAGTGACAGGGACTTGGGATTTCAGTGTGTATAAGACAAATATAGCCATGTTATGTACTATCCAAAATGACAACTGAACCTACACATTTCTTCTTAGTTTTCATTTCGATATAGAGCTGGGCGATATGGCCAAAAACATTATCACGATAAACAAAACTCATATCGTTCGATATCGATACATATTGCGATACATGTCAAATCATTATTTCTTTCACGTTTGAAGGCTGATTTTGCTCCTGGGTGGTTAATTGTGGTTTTATCACTTATGGTTGGATCATGACAAACACTCGGCAAACAGTGGAACATTTCACAAATCTGTCTTGGGACAGTGGGAGAAAGTTTCTGAGCTGTTTTTATCAGCTGGAAAAGCACAGCTGCAATTTTTGTAATAGTCATTATTTAAGAAAGAAAGATTATTTTTAGCTGTATGGTGACAAGTGCTCGACTATCCAGTTACAAATACTAAACAAGTGACCAACAACAGTGCTAAACTCTTTAGTTTCTCAACAACGTCAACTCGGTTCAGTAGGTCACTGCTGTCACTCCTACCACATCCATGTCAGAGCATATCGCAATATTCAGACACCAGCTAGCGACAGATGGATTTCTCTATGCTACCGTAGTAGTTTAAGGGGTGAACCGCAAAATATCTGACGTTCGCTGTGTAAAAGCATTATCTGCAGTGTGAATCTCTCGCACCAGTCAAACAGAGTCCTCCTTTTAGGTATGTTTAAACTGAAAGCGGTGATTTTGTGTCTTGTTTGATCCACCGTATCATCAATTCACCGTGTCGTGCCGGAGCGCTGCTTCAATTAGCCAACAGCTAAAAACAGCTAGTCTGGAAAGATAGCGCTCTCCCGCTCTCCAATGCCTCACAGCTTCCTCAGTTTACTTTCATTTAAATCAGGGCTGTAACTAACATTAACCCACTTCTTTCTTTCACTTTCGCTGCTCGAGAATGCACTAATACTAAAATATGACTATGGTTTGGCGCTGTAACACGGCACTGCAGACGTGATTTAACACCGCTAAACTTGTTAGGATGCACGGAATGTATAACTCCACGTTTCAGATGTAGCTAAAGTATATTTGGCAACCCTTTACTCATGGCCTCCTCCCTCTCTAATGAAGCCGAAAAACTCGGAAGTGCGCCCTCTCCTGGCGACAGCAGAGTAGTGTCGCTTTCCTTGCAGTAGAAAACGCCACCAGGGCTTTCGCTAAAACATGGAAGTGTGAAAACGGTGTATTATATCGAACATTTATCGAACCTGTCTTATCGCTCTATCGAGGAAAAGTTATATCGCGATACTTATTTTTATCGTTTTATCGCCCAGCCCTATTTTGATAATGGTAAAATAGTGGTAATGTTTTCTTTGGGGACTACTCTGGTGCACAATAACCTACATGTGCCTCTCCTACATGAATGTCTCTTAAAAAATGTTTTAGCCCAAACTCTTATTTCTAAACTACCATAAAACAATGTCTCAGGCATCAGGTGCCATATTCGTAATCATTTAACATAATGTGAGGTAGCTTTAAGAGGAATTACATTCTGTAGACATCTGGTTCCTGTCATCACCATTGTTAATAATCCTGACATAGTACACTTTTAATGGCTGACATCGTAACCATTCAATTATGCATAAATTTGAACAGGTGGAACTCCTCTTTAAGCATAGTGATTTGTCCTTTGTTGTTGCTAGCTCTGTAGCCCTTAGTTTGCTAATTAGCTAACTAGCTAGCAGACTAAAGTAACAAAGTTACATAAGCAGACATTTATAAAATACAAACCAGTTTGCTACAAACAGTCCAGTCTAAAGGTGGCAGTATTATAACTATTTTATTGTTCTGGGTTGCACAGGAAGTCTACATTTATGTTGACTCGTTCCCTTGACCCTCCAAGGGGTCACCTAACAAACTTTATTTCAGCTAATATAGTGATGGAATGACCCTCAAGATGTTGTTGGGGATTTCTGAAAGGGGAAATTGAGAGGGCATGTTAAAAACAGTAGTGAAACATATCTGTGTTGTTTTGTAGCTAAACCAATGAGTGTTCTATGGGGTGGGTAACAACAACAAAAAATAGTTTTCAATTCCTGTGTTCTCTAACTCAAAGAGAGAAAGAGAGAGAGAGATCAAATAGCACCTGTCGAGTGCAAACTCAACTAACAGATAGGCTTAGTTTTCTTCAATGCACTTTCATACTGAAGACTTAATCACATTTTCTTATATAATTATATTCTTACATTCTTACAGAGAGAGCTGGTATATAATTAACAAATCAAACAACCATAATGGGGAGCTAAAACAATTTGTGACCTCCCAGTTGCCAGGTATAATGACTTCAGATCCTTTAACAGATATGGTGACACATAATATCATTGTATTAATAGGATGTGCTCAATTAATCTTACTAAGAGGATGTTCCAACCAGGGGTAAAGCCCATAGCCAGAAGGCAAATAAGGCAATGTGTGTTTGATTCAGTACACTGAACCAGGTGATAGTCTCTGATAAAATATTTTTAATTCAAAGGCCACCTGAGTAAAACACCATGATTGTCATAACAGTTTGCTTTAACTTGTGAGTAATACAAAAATCACAGACTACATCAAAATAAGCTAAGTATACTGAGAGTATCTTCTGTACTTAAACTACTTAACACTAACTACATGTTCCATTAAACGAGGTTTAGAAGAGGCCTAGATGCCTAAGGTTTCAATCTAGCAAGGAGACCAAAAGTTTGAATCCTTACAGTGCAAAAGGTTCAAGAGCGCATAACTAGCTGTGTTAACTGGGTGTAGTGCAACACAGCTATGTGGCTCTATTGGTAAACTTATTGTTTTAACTTATCAAATTTCAGTAAAACTAAATGTGTGTACCCTGTACCCTAGAAATGTCTTCAAGTATTGTGATGATATATTTGGGCCATACTGCTCAGCTTAACTTGAACTACATGCAAAAGGCAATTTGTTCACTCTCATATAGACTAATTGCAGAGCGGACACCTTTGTCCAGAAAATGTTCCACAGTCCAAGATCTGCTCCCCATGGAAAGTGAAGTCCTTGCCTTTCTCCAGTGAGGAAGGACAAGGTCACACTAATCACATAGCTATGACATTACACAGGTGCAAAAGAAAACACGAAGCACATAAATTAAATGGATAACTGCCAAGCCTCCAAAAAGATTAGATACTGAGAGATACTGAACTGGTGCATAAGTAATAAGGTTTTTGACTCAATACTGGCTTAAACATGGCCTTGCTTATGTCACAGCCTGTTTAATGGCAAATGTGTTACAATAAACAATGAGAGGACTTTTTTTATCACTGACATAAGTCAAGCAAAAACTTGGGAGTGTTGTTCTAACATTCTAGGGCTGGGCTGCATGATTTAAAAAAAGTACAAAAACTATAAAATTACAGACTTAGACAACAGCTGTGAACACTGCATGGGAATATAAACATAAATAGCACACCTCTAAAAAAGTGAAGACTTCACTAATCACTAATTAAAAGAGCACTTTCATGACACGAAGAACCTTTCAATCATGCAAAGGATTCTTTGTTCATGGTTCTATATAGCACAATATTCTTTACTAAGGAACTCTTGAAGAACCATCTTTTTTAAGAGTGAGAAGTAGTGTTTCCATATGAGAAAAGACATCATTGAGTTATTCGTTAGCTCAGCCTGTGACAACTACCATAAATCTGAGTCAGCTTATCAAACAAGGCCTATCAGTCAGGATCATCATTATTTCCTGTGTGATTAGGTAACCGGCAGTTCACAACATTAGATGCAGGTAATATAAAAGATGCTTCTATTATAAAAAATTATGTACGTAACATTACTTGAGGATAATCTGTTGCAATCTCTTTTTCCTTGTTTTGGGGGCATTCTGTGTGTGTATCCATGTCCCTGCCAAGATTTGTGAATGAGACCCATTGAGAGTCAAGGTGAGATACCCTCACACAGCAGGTAACACCAATGAGCTGAATAAATGAGAAGAAGCCAGAACTGAGAGAATGGGCAGACAATTCACCAAGTAGCTATTGCACACATTCATTTCTAGCACTTGAAACACCACTTCTAGGCTTTTATGCTGAAGCAGCACCATTAGGGAAAGGCAGGCGCACAGTGATTAGCTTATGAGCTAAGATATAGGAGCTAAAGGGAAAAACCAGCCACAGCCAGGGATGCCACCCTGTCCAGGATTTTGGTTGTCTGTCCAGGAACAAAACAATTCCATTCCTGGACTCACAAATGCTCTGGAATCCAAGCATTTCCATTTGTTTTCATTTCATATGAAGCTGCTAAAAATGGGTTTGATTGGTTGACTGAGATTCCCCTCAATGTAGAGACAGTTGTTCTGGAAAGGTGCACTTTTGGGGATTTTAGGCACTCGGCAGCATGTTCTTTAGCAGAACTGACATCTATCTACCTTAGATCGCATCATGAGCATAGCTACCCATCCACTGGATGTAACATTAAAAAAAAAAAAATTACTGGCCCCCAGTAGGGTTGAAAACACTGACTTCAATGAGCTGGTATGATAAATACCAAAAAGAAAGCAGTTGTAGCAGCCGGAGCTGGTAGTTCACCCCAATAGCAGGGCTGCCAGTCTAAGGATACTAGCAATATCAGGCTAATCTAGTAGTGGGGATATCAACAGGGACAGTAGTTTGGGGAAAACAGTGGTAGCAACCTAAGCTAGTTGTTATCTCTTTAGAAGGGGTATTGGTCTGGGGATACCAGCAGTAGCAGGTTGTCAGGCTGTATGAGACCAATCCAAGATGTCAACATTATCACTGCAACAAGAGGAAGGTGGATGTCTTCTGGGCAAGCAGGGTGTTTGTATTACTGACAGCATGATATGTCACTGTCACTTAGCAATTTTGTTTGTATGAGATCCTGGCCTGTGCATGGGAGCATTAGGAGCATGCTCTGGGGGTTAGTACATATGAAACAGAAACAAAGTCTCCTAAATCTGATTGGGCTGTATCCTATTGCACTGGGCACTATTCACATGATCAAGGTTCAAGGGAAAAAAAAAAACTTCAATTAGTCAAGTTTTTTTTCTTCTTCTTATGTTATATACAGTACTGTTATCAACAGGAACTGGAAAAAGTAGTCTGAATTTGTATTTTTTCTTTACTCAGCCTATTACAGATAACGCCAGGGGAGTGTGGGGAACAACCTAATGTGTAGCACAATTTAGAACTGACTTTTTATGTTGGTATATAATCAGCGTGTGCTTCTGGCCACATTACCACATTTCCTAGCCACACTCTCCCATTCGTCGGCATTTTAAAGAGATCTGTGCAAAAGAGTGTTTTCAGGGCATGTAAGCAAGATTTTTCGGTAAGTGATCTGTTTGTGCAAATCACAAAATCCAACCTTATATTACTTTACTCAACAAAGCACCATTTTGAAGCAGGCAACCAGCTCACAGCAAGTGCTAGCTAGGCTTATGTACAGCCTCCTTTAGTAAACAAAGACGAAAAATAAATTGTCTTTGTTCCATTTACTTACACAAATTTTAAAAGGAAAACGAGAACATATCTGAAAACTTGGATTTTCTTATGGTTTAATAATATCTTTCAAATGGTAGTATTTTGGTTTTAAATAATTTATGAAACTGACATTAACAGTTGGTAAAGCTGTAGTTATTCAGAAACAATGTTCCATATTTTACTGATGTATGATGTTTTTTATTTGCTGTCCAACACTGGACAAAAATATATTTGTCATCGTTTGACACAGCTTCATGTCAGTTTTCATATATAATGTTTGTGTGTATCAATTGGGGTGTCTGTCTTGTAGATAGATAATATATAATGCAGTATGGTTGGAAAACATGTGTCCTACAATATATAATTATACTGAATTAATTTTGCACTAATTCATCAGACTTTTCTAGCAAATGTTACAACCAACCCCACTCATGGGCTAAATTGTAACGTTGCACTTCCCGTCATTTTCGATGGAACTGTACATGAACGGTAGGTGCTAGAAACAAAGTTTCGTTTGTGGCAGAGACGTATATGTTGCTTGTATAAAAACATGATTACTTCAATATTTTTTTAATTATTTCGCAAAAACCAAAGTGTGTTAGGTTGTGCCTGTGTCCACTACGTCATACAGTTTCAGTTTTCTGTTTCAGATTGCTTAGCAACTCAACACAGTCTGAGATCAAGTGTGAGATGATTCAAGGACGTAGTTTGCACAATGTAATGGTGGGCTATAAAGTTCCCATTGCTTGTTCGCTATTAACCTTTTAGCTCCAGTGCAATCTGATTAACTATGTCGACTATATCTGAGACAAGGGGAAACATTTGTTTTGTCACCGAACTACCTCTTCAATGAGGCATCAGACGTAAACATACCTCATTCAAGTGTTCTTCCATTGGAGACGGACATGCCTTCTCCACATGCCTTCCTAGCATCGATTTTGAATTAAAATGTTACGCCCTTAACTCTTAAAGGGTCATACAAAAGTATCCCCGAACAAACAAAAGTCACTCCTACGGGGACATACAAAAGTTTTTAATTAATATTACAATAGGCATGAAGCGATATTTGCTTTTTGTTTCGTTGCAGAACATGACAGCTGAACACAGTCGTTCTCATCAAAGTCGACGAAACCCTCACGCCAGTTACACTGTCGAAGAACAGTCTCAATGAAGGTTAACTGTCAGTAACACTGTCTAAGTAAGTAAATTTAGCAACGTGGCCAGCACAAACTGAACTGATTCATTCGCTTTCAAGCGTCAGTACATCACGCCATGAGTCACTGTTAGGTTGCTATGACTCGCCAAATGAATCAACGAGGCAGCTCTCGCGTTGGTCTAGTCATCACCGCTTCCCGTTTGCATGTGCTACAGGTGGAGTACGTAGCCTTCAACTTCGTCGTTATCCGCCTCCGTAAATGAACTCCACAAGGTTCCAGCTCTTTCTTCTCTCTCTCTCGTTTTGTAAATCGGGCTATTAAACGCACTAATGCCACCTCTGTGATGTATGATAAGTTACAAGGCTAAAACTAGAACTTGGGAGGAAAGCGCGTAGCTATTGTACACATTCACATCGATTTTTCTGGTTATTTTTCGTACAGCACAATGAATAAGATGTTTAACTCAAAATTAAACATGTAACAAGTCAATATCACCGCGCACTTTTTAAAGTTTTCGGTTATCGTTTGCATGCTACCTGGATAGGTGGTAGTCTTGCTGTCAAAGCCGGTAGGCCAGACTTCAGGCAAGCCGGCTGAATACACCCAAACCACACCATGATAAATATCAAGCGCGTCACATTTTACTCGACTTACAAAAAAGTTTCGGAAACCCCGCACAGACGCCAAATCCTTACACATCGCATACCCCAACTAAGTTCAGTAAAGAAGAAAAAGAACATTACACTTACTATTCTTTGATGAGCACCATCTTCGCCCTCACAGCTGCGGCTGCGCAACACTACTGACGTCACATACAGTTATCAACATGCCCACTTATTCCGCCCCTTGCGGTGTGTGATTGGTGCAGTAATGAATGATAACGAGGCCCTTCTCCCGGTACAACTGTTAACATTTGTGTGATTTCCAGAATCGCAGAGCTTGTATTTTGTTAGTCACTGAAAGGGAGTAGGTTTAACATACTTAGGCACTCCTCCCCTTCCTCAAATAGGTCCCAACACACGGTGAGTTTACCATGTGACATGAAGCGTGAGGGGAAGAAAAATCAGTTCTTTAAAGTAAAGCAACATTTCACTCATACTAATCACATTTGTACTTTTAGTCGACATAGCAACAAATGAATGTTACATTTATTTACGTTCACCCCAATTTTGACCTCTCAATAAAAGTGGAAACATTTTCTGATTATGCAACATCCAGCTTCAATTCACACATTATGACGAACAGCACAAAGAATCTTTACAGATACAATATATGTAGTATAAAGTATGATTTTTCCTGGAGAGAAACAAAATAATTAATGTAGTATACTTTTTCAAAATGCCTTAAAAATGTAAATAGAGTATTATTAAAATGATGGACTAATACTTAGAGTGATGCTGTATTTCTTGACTACTTGACAATTTCTTGAATTTCATAGGTTTTTCCTTTATTTTATAATTCTGTGTTTTGAATGTATTAAGCTTAAAATTACCAACCATGTTTCCTAAAGGAAAATAGTTGGGTCAGTGTTTATTATATCGTTGTGTACTGCATTTTGTATTAAAATGTATTAAAATATCATAGCAAAAACACAGAGAAGAGGAAGACATCTTTTTTTTTTTTTATTAAAACAGCTCCTGTTAAGGTACATAGAGAGAGAAGTCTTAACTGTCAAAAAAGGTGAGCTAAAAAGTCATACATACTTAACAATCAATAGCAAGAGAATCCATGCTGCAGAGAAGACATTCAATTAACAAAGAGATGAGGCCAAACGTTTGTTTGGAAATTTCAATAAAAATATGAAATAAATGTCCCATTTTCTGTTTTCACAAGGTTTTTTCTTTTTAATAATATAAAAATGTGTAATACTGATTGAAACACTTGATTTAAATTACAAAACATAATTATATTATCAATAACAATAACAATTAATAATAATAATAATAACAGCCATAATAAACAATAAGAATATATTATGTAAAAATCAAATGGAACAAAACAGTCTGTAGTGTTTTATGTTTGGCCCTCACAAACATTAAATGTTCCTGACTTATATGCACAGTATAAGGTCTTCTGTCTCACATACACAGTGGTGGCTGAGGGCAGAAGCACCAATATATTAGTTTTATTTCAAAGTCCCCAGACAGGACACAGGTCTGTTTGGTTAACAAGAACATGGATTTCAAACTCACAAAGGGCAAAGAAGTTCCATTTTATGTCGACTGATTTCTGATCACAGGTGATCAGTCATGACATAGTTGAATTGACAATTCTCACAAATGTTTCAACATTTGGATGAAGGAAAGAACCTACCAGATGAGATAAACTTGTAACCATTACCCAAGGGTAGGTGTACAGGTTGACCACCGGGGCTGCTCCGGGTGGAGATGGAAGGTGATGGTGCAGCCCCCTGTCCATTAGAACCATTATGCCCATGACTTGGGGTTCTGTCCAGAGATTGATGCCCCATCTTCAACAACTCAAGAGCATCTTGGCCACCTCCAGGTGAGCAGCGACGTGGTGATAGATTAAGAAGTCCAAGCACATCCTTCTTTGTTGACATCACTGGGCCTCTAAGTGCTTTGAGTGGACCAGTGTGTTGCTGTTGCTGCTGCTTGGCTGTAGCATTAGACCAGAAAGTCTTTAGGCTATGCATAGCTTGAACTTTCTCATCAATAACTACCCTTCTCAATCGGTCAAGCTCCACAGTGTCTGTTTGACCTGACCCAGTGGAGCCAGTTGAGGAGTATGAAAGGGCTGGGGATGGTGCACTGTCAGCAGGAGACTGGTGGCCTGAACTGGGGGACACGTTTCTTGGAAAACAAGATATATGACCACTATAAAGAGAGCTAGGGTACTTGAGCTTGAACTGGGCAACTTTGTCCAGTGTGGGTGAGGGGTGTCCACCCTCTTTCATAGAGGTATCTGATGTGGCAGGACTACTGTAGCCAGAGCTGATCTTCTGAAGAGAGGAAGAGCGGGAAGGGTGTTTGGGACGGGTGGCAGGATCTCGGATGCTGACACTGCTACCAGGTCGACTAAACGCACTAGTCTCTGAGGAGCGAAAGGCTGAGCATCTGGTCGGCGTGGAAGTAGAAATGGGAGCAGCCATGCCTTCAGCTACTCCTCTCTGTAAGCTCCCTATGGCCTTGAGGTGGCTCTGGGTCTCTTCCAAAATCTTCTTGGCAAGCTCCTGAGGATCCAGGGTGGTTGATAATGGCTTCTCTTCCTGGGACTTCACTGTGCTGTCAGTTTCAGTGCTTGACTGGTCTGATTCACCTGTGTCCGAATTAGTCACCTTCCCAACCTTCTGGAAAGGGGAGTTTGGACTTAGAACCAAGCTTGCCTTGAGTGGAGAGGTGGGAGTGCTGACACTTCCTTTTGATGAGATGGACACTTTGTACTCTTGTCCAGCGCTTGAGACATGCCCACCAATTCCATTCCTTCCCCCATGACCATGGCGGTGTCTCTGACCATGGCCCTGTGGCAGAGGTAATGAGTCACACTGGCTGGCCAAGGGCTCACTACTAATAATAGAGTAGCCCTCATATTCCTCCTCATCTCCTTGTACCTCTGTGCTGCAAGTCAATATCGCACCATGTGGTGAGGATCGACTGCGAGAAACACTGAGCGGGTGCTTATTAGCAGAGAGCGAGGAAGTCATACTACCACCACCACGTCTTTGGCCCAGAAAGTCACTCTCAGACTTAGAAACAAAGCTCATGGACGAGGCAACGGAACTCAAGCTATAGACAGATATGGCATCTGAGGCCATATTATCAGGGCAGTGTGGAGAGAAGGGCAGGCTGGGGTAGCCAAGAGGCAGTGGATTGGATACAGACTGGGCTGAAGCAAGTGACTCCAGGGAAGATGAGCTGTCTAGGCTGAGACGCTTCGGAAGTTCTGTTGAGTCTATAGTTCAGAACAAGCAGAGAGAAAGAGAGATAAATGGTGAGTAAGTAGACTGAAATGCTTTATTGTGCCAAACTCTAAAAGTTGAAAATAACATTTTGTTGCTGTCATATAAAAATGTTGTAGCTGTGTTTTTTTCTGTATTTTGAAGGGACCATTAAACAAATAAAAAAATGACTGAATAAAAGTATGTTAGATTAACATTCATTATTATTATTGTTATTAAATTAAGAATGTTTATTTTTTCATTTTCTTGCAAAGTTACAATTTCGTAGATAAATTGATAGTTATCATTTGGAAAACATGAGGTTTCGTTCCGACAACAACAAATAAACATATCAGCCATATAACAAGGAAAACTTGTTGAAAATTTTACTTACCAAAAAGTGCCATGAGAGACTGGAGAGCAAAGTGCAAGGTGCGACGGCTGGCCTGCTTCCCTGTCTTCAGAACAACCTCTTCCTGTCCCACCTCACACAGATCAAACCCTGAATTTGTGAAAGCAGTGAAACACCTAATAGTACCTAAGTAGTTACTACTTAAAACCCTTTGTGGTTTAATATTTAAGACAGCATATGGTTGATTTGCATTCAAATGTGCACACACTCACACTATCACAATGCAAAATTGACTCACCAAGTGCAGCAAGAAACTCATGGCAGCCTGGCAGTCGCCACAGCTGGACACTTATAGACACCTGAATGGGTAACAAGGAAAAGTCCTGCTCCTTCTCACCTGACTGCAGTTGGACCAGGACTTGATGAAGCTACATGTGATAAAAGACAAGGGAAAACTCTGAGCTATAATCATAAATAATACAAAAGTACAATAATACTTTTGTATCATTTATTGCTGCTTGAGAAAATATTTCATACATTGGTAAATTTGTTTACTTCTGTTCAATAGCTTTTCTGCACCAATATTATTATTTGTTTGTTAAGATTACTTGTCTAACAAAGCACTGTGTGCATAAGATTATTTCATTTGAGAACAATTACCTTATTTTAAATTATGGCACAATACAAGCCCAGAAAGTCAGTGATAAAATCAGGGCTTTTTTTTTTTTGATTCTGATTTTCTGTTGCCTCATCTTGGTAAGACCTGGCCCATGATGGCTTATTTCGAATATGAAGAGAAACACTCTGAGTCTAAGATTACTAGCTCTTACTAAGAGACTTGAATGATAGGAATATGTTTATCTCTAGATTTATACTTAACTGCATCCTTGCACCTTCTTATTGTTCATGGAAATAGAATCTTTGATGCCTAAATTACATTTAAAATGCTGCATTTACATATAGAAAGTTAATTTATATAAATACAAAGATAATTTATCAAGTTATAAATACATTTTGATTACCCTATCAGCAGATTTTTTGCTTTTGATTTAAGCATGCACATTCCATTTAATTTTTTTTTTTTTGGCAGTGTTTGAAAAGGCATACTGATACAGTCTGAATCTCAGATTACCGAGGCCACAGGTTCTGAAAGAAGTTTATTGTTAAGCATTGTAACAGACTACAGAATGAAGATTTGCTTAGTTGCTTTAAACCAACTTGACAAACAGCTGCCATCTCTCTATTGCAAGCTGACAAAATTAGCTTTAGTGTGTGTATTCCAGGGACTTGTTGACGCATTGAGATCAGGTTGAGGGGAAGGTGGGGGTATTTTCTATGCAGGACTTATGAAGTGGGACTCCAAAGAACACTCAGCTGTTCTATTTAAGGAGATTAATTTCAAGCATGAAACAGAGATGCCTTTGTAAGAGACTGTCCACATGGCCCTGAACGTGTGTGTGCCTTTTTCTTCATACATAAACTCTTAAGATGTATACTTGGATGAACTGAGGTGCACAGTTAGAGATCCACTAAAAACCACCTAACAAGGAACCTGACTATATCAGTAATGTTTCATGTTTGAATGAACATTTGCCAGTATTGATATCCAGTTGTAAAATGTGAATGGAAAACATTTTTTGTATTTTACTATCACATTATTTGAATTTATTGAGCCTAAGTCCAAAGTCGCTACCTAGGCAGATATCTTCAATTAAAATACATTAATATCCTCAGTATATCAACCTGACCTGGAACGTTACGATAAAGCAGGTATTTGCCATTTCACATCAGAGTGAACAATGCAATATATGAAAGGTACGCAGATTTCAGCTTTGCCTATTAGTGTTAAGCCAGGAACGCTAACAAAGAAGGAATTTAGCAAAAAGGAGTTAAATCAGTTCCAAAAATTCTTGTAGGGCTAAAGCAAGGAGACTTACCATTCCAACAATATTCTTTACAGCCTTCAATCCACAAGACAGAAAGAGGGAGAAAGAGGGTGTAAGTTTAAGTGTAAGCCTTGTGTACAATGGGCCTCATTCACCAATATCTTCCCAGTTTTTTTCTTAAATTTGTTTTTAGGAAACGGTCCTAAGAAAAAATTCAGATTCATGACGTGTTCTTAAACCCCAGAATTGCTTGAATGTGCATAGATTCTGTTCTTACTTAAGAACAAATCCCAAATCCCAAAAAGAAAACATTGGTGAATGCCTGAATCTTCGTCAAAACTGTGTAAGTGGGTTTTAAGAAGAAATTCATTTTTGGTGAATGAGTCCCTCTGTATGTAATTAACACAGAAAAGAGTCAAGCTATTGCATACAAAGCTCACTGCAATAATGTTTAAAAACTCATTCACACTCCCTAGTGTAAGAACAAGCAGACTACTTCAGCTCTTGCATTGCTAAAATCGTGAATAAAAGGCTTTCACAGAAAAAATCTATAAGGACTAACAGTCAACACATAGTACAGATATAATCACTGTGCAACTGAATTGGGCAGAAAAAACATGCAGTTGCAGCATCAAGTTTCAAGCAATAAAAATGCTTTGCTGGTGTCAAAAGTGGTGTTGTTGCAGAGGGTAGCTTCAGGCCATCATCACAGCAGTGTTAAAAAAAAAAAACTACCCCCCTGAAGTCATGAGAGGACAGAGGTATTGCAGCATTGAGCTGAGAATAAATGGGCATTCAGATAATGCATCACTTGCAGTTTAGGATTATCTGTCACTATTCTCAACTTTGGACCGGTGAGAGAATGGCACAGCCAGCAATAATCCTTTGCAGATAATATTGTATTAAAATGATGGAAAAGGGATGATGAGACAACATATACAGTTCTATGCAAATGTCTGAACAGCCTCTGCTAAACTACACTATATTTATTTTCCAAGTTAACACACCTCTCAAAGGAAAAAATCTAAATAAGACTTTTCCTGTAAATTTCAGAGCACAATCTCAACTGAATGTAAATGAGTTTAATATATTGCAGGAAAATGGCCAAAAGTATGTGGTCACCTCTCCTAATTATTGAGTTCCGGTGTTTCAGCCACACTCATTGCTAAGAGGTGTATAAAATCAAGCATAGCCAAACAATATCTATAGACAAACATTGGTGGGAGAACAGGCCATACTGAAGAGCTTAGGGACTTTAAACGAAGCACTGTCATAGAATGACACCTTTGACACAAGTCAAGTTCATGAAAGATATGTCCTGGTACATCTGTCCTGGTCAACTGTAAGTGCTTTTATTGTGAAATATAATGGCAATGCTACAGCCCATTTTCTATAGAAGTGCACTTTGTAGTTCTACATCACAGATTATAGTCCATCTAAATTATTTTAGCCCCCTTTTACTCTGTTCTTCAATGGTCAGGACACCCACAAGAACACCACAAGGCAGGTATTATTTGGGAGGATGATCATTCTTAGTACTGCAGTTTGTTAATCATCTTCTAGTCCTTCATCAGTGGTCACAAGATGTTGAGCCACAGGATGCTGTTGGCTAAATATTTTTGGTTGGTGGACAACTTTCATTCCAGCTATGACATTGAGGTGTTTAAAAGCTCCAGCAACACTGCTGTGTCTGATTCTTTTGTATCAGCACAACACACACTAACACATCACCAAAACATCAGTGTCACTGTGGATAGTGGTCCTAACCATTGAAGAACAGGGTAAAATGGGGCTAAACAGATGGAGTACAGCCTGTAATCGTAGAACTACAGAGTACACTTATACGGTAAGTGGAGCTGATAAAATAGACAAAGAGTGCAGACACAAGGAGATGTACTCAATGAAGCAGCTGATCATTATGTGACAACGTCAAGGACAAAATACTTCATTTATGAATCACAGTACAGTATTAGTAACTGGATGTTCCTTCATTGACCTGAGTATAAGTATCAAAAAAAAGTGTGATAATTATACTATTGCTACTGACAGCTTTGTTGTTTTCAGTACTTCGCTTTCAGAAATGTAAAACATAAGTTCTATAAAATTCTGCCATTGAGGGTTAATAAAAGTGTGATAATTGTCACTATTTACATAAAGACACTGCACGTCTTAACAGTAAAGCCTGGTAAAATTATTTGGTGAAACTCACCTTATTAATGAGCTGCTCTCCTGCCTCAGAGGCACTAACGACTTTGCAAAGTGCTTGCAGGGCTGGAGGAGGAAGACCTGTAATAAAGACGGGACTGATGAAGGGCAACCGATTTAAGCTTAGTCATCTGATTTTCAGCATTCTGTGTTAAAACTGCACTTTAATGAACAACTAGCAATTCTTTCTCTGTACCCAGTAGTGACTGCAGGGTGGCGCTACACTGCTGAAGCCGGTCTCCTGGGTCAGCCGTTGGGAAGAACACAGCAGGGGGAAGGCCAGTGCCGGCCACGTCCAGCCTGAAGCCCACTGCAGCCAGCAGAGCCTGCCATCCTGGAACGCCCCCCACTTTATTCTCCACGCTCTGCTGGGATGTGTACATGGAATTGCGTTGTCCATTCTGAATGCGCTGCAGAGACTTCTCCACCTGAGAGAGAGAGAGATAAACAGAAGGAAGAAAAGAAGATAGAGAAGAACAGAAAGAAATTAACTGGTCTTCCAACATGAGGTTATTGCATCGCTGGCTTGTCCAATGCAAAAACATAAAAACTGTATAAGTATTTTTTAAAAGAATGTATGATGTAGTTGGGGACACCTAGAAAATGAGCAAGGGAAGAGGCAGAAAGCGCAGCATGTTGTATGAACTTCATCACATATGAAGATTTTGGCCATATTTGCTTTCATTGTTATGCCTGTATGTTAGCATACTAGTTTCCACCAAGCATGCATAAGTGCGTGTTGTCATGTAACCTTTATGTGTTTATTTTGTTGTGCATATGTCTCACCAGGTGCAGGAGTACTCTAAGGGCATCTCTGGCTTTGTCAGGATATTGTAGAATTTCTGACAGGGCCTGACCAATCAGCGATGAGGGGCTGTTCAGTTTCACATCACTGCCAATCAGCATGAACCCTGAGAGAAAAAATACGTAAGCAAAAATTGTAAGCTCGTGCAGTAGAATGACATCTGCATTTTCCCAACCACACTGTCCCAGATATATTTCCCAAACACATCCAGCATTTGTGTTTTAATTTTTTGTCTGTACATATCATGGCAAAAAATAGTTTTGTAAGATGCAGTCTATTCAGGTCCCTCATTGTGTTATACTGGCCATGTGCTGATTCCCTCAAGATTTGGGATTTTGAGAACTTGCATAGCCCATACCAACACAAAACTCATTATGTGTATGATACCGTATCTTTGCCTAATCATCTATTGTGTAAAACCTTATGACAGAAAACACTCTAAAAATCTGACAGCCCATATAATGGAAAATTGGAGTTTCCTTGAATTTTCTGAAATAAAATTTTATATAATACTGTGCATTGTTTTCACAGTTAAAAAGTGCTACAGTTTCAAAATATACTATTCACTCCCCAATACACACAGTAAATATACAGAAATTAAGCTGCGAAAACAACCTGTTTGGAATTCACTGTTTCGTGATGTCACAAAAAACAGCATATTTACATCATATACACACGCCTTCAGCAGTTTAGCTCCACCCATTCAAGTTTAGGTTGTAACAAGTGTTTCAAGGAAAATATCAAATACAAGAAAATGCAGAAACTGGACTCTTTATTATTGATTTTATAATTAGTAGTGTAAGCCCAGTTAGTTCTAAGCCTTAAGCTAAGTAACATTATGGATGTACTTATGACACAGACCTGCCCAGTTAGAGGGATGAGAAAACTGCGGACTGCTCTGAACGCTCCTCATGGCTTCTGTGAGGGCCACACTGGCTTTGGCTCCATTGAGCAGGGCAGAGTAGAAGGCATGAACAAACACTTTGGACACAGCTACAGGCACAGGCCACAGAGAGACCAGCACACACTGTGCACCAGCAGCAAGGAATGCTCGTGTCAGTCCCACGACTCCATCAGCAGTCACCTTACTGCTAGACTCCTGGTAGGAACTGTGAGATGAACACATTAAAATAGTCCACCTAAGTCCTAAAATGACCTAAGACCTAAAATGTACACACATTTTAAAAGCATATAAACAAATATCTGAAAATTTACCAGGACATTTTAGACTCACCCCAGCACCACCAATTTAACTCGCAGCCTTAGATCCAAAATGTCTGCTGCTGTAAGCAGTAGCTCCTGCAATGGCGGCGCATCACAGGTGCTCTCTGCGTCACTCCCATCATCGGGCACTGTGTAGCTGCTTCCAAGTGAACCCTTTCTCCCTCCCCTGCCCACTGTGCCCCCTGCTACTCCTCCTCCTCTTCCTCCCTCTCCCCTGCTTCCTTCCTGGTGGATGGGTGCCAGCACCAGAGCTGCCAGCCTCCAAGAGATGTGTGTGGCGAAGTGTGCACACTCCGCCTGGCTGAGGGCACTCATCACACGCTCCTTGGTGGCTGCTGGGCCCGTGAGAGGCTGGCAGCCCAGCAGATCAGCCACCATGCAGGCCTCTTCTTCAGCAGAGGGCATGGGACCCCACAGCCAGCGGTCCATGGCTGTTGAGGGGAGGCTAGGGTTACCAACAACAGCTGCCATGCCAAGGGCACTGCATGGTGGGGGCATTGAACGACGGGGGTTGATCTAGGAGGAGAAGGCAGAGTGATTAGGCTTGCAGGTGGAGTTCTTTCTCTTCTGTAAAGTTACAATTTTGGAGATATAATGTTAAATTACAATAGTAATGATGTGTTGCCTTGTGTGATACCTTACTTTGTAACATGATGTTAGGAGCTGTTGGATTCCTCAGGATTCCAAAGAGACTGACTTAACCTTTGTTCGCAAGCCAAACATATTCTCGCTTCAAGTATCTCTATAATCAGCATGCATGTTATATTAGCCTGACTATTCCACCACAAACAGGCATAACCCTTGGTGGGGGAAATTGGGTATTCTGATCTAAATTTGACAATTATGTTCTCGCTACAGGTTTGACATGTTCAAGGGGTAGCTTTGAGAAGTTTCATGGCTAGGGAATGCTACCGGCTATCGCCATAACTGCATGTTTTCTTGTAAAATCTGTAGATCCAGTGACCACTTTGTCAAGTATCTTGAAAGAGCAGAAAGCAAATATATGAAGATAGACTGTGTGTTGTGTTTTGTTGATGACATACTGATTTTTGGCTGTGGTGATGATCATGACAAGACCATGACAAGTAGCTCCTAGCCCTTATGAGTTTCCTCAACTGAGAGTGAAAAAAAACAAAAAAAGACAACTGTATTTCAAGCTCACATCCACAGACATATACTGACCTTGCGAAGGCCCTCCCCAGCACATTAAGCGAGCACAGTGTCTCATTCGCTTTGCAAATTATTTGGCAGAATGCCTAGTTAATTTGTCAGACGTCTGCAAGCCTTTAAGGAGGTTGCTGGAAAACAATCTCTTGTTCCACTTCTTGCCAAAACATAATGCCGCAGTGGGAGAGATAAAGAGTCCAGAGTGACTCCAGCCAAAGTAGGCTTAGTTGTTGTCTCATGCGGGCGGGTCAATCAGCAGTCAACTCATGCAAACTGAGAACAACTAGATGTATATTGAGAAAGAATGCCTGAACATAGTCTTCATGCTCCAGCATTTTCACCATTGCATGGTAAAACCCACTCGAGTTTGGTGTTGTTAACTTGTCAACATTTTCTTTAGGCCATATGGCAGCCCGTGTCTGAACACTTGTGGAACACTTAGTTTGTGCACAACAGCAATAAAAAATCCATCTATATGTATACAGGTAAATATTAAACAATGTTGTTGGACACCAGGTCATCCCCTTTTTCCATGTGTTTGATGGAATATGATGACTATTGCTGAATGAAGCAAACCCTCCAAATTTTAGCCTTTTTGCTATAATAATTTCCAAGCAAACCTTGGGATGATCAAAAAAGGTTGTCAGAATGTCCAAACAAGGTATGAGGTAATCTTCTAGGGTGCCGTATGTTTATCAAGGGGTATAAAAATATACACTAGTTTTTCATTCTGACAATTTAAATAACATTTTAAATGACAATTTAAATTACATTTACTACCACTGTGGTGAAGCTTTAATAAACAAAGAAGACAAGTTTGTTTGTTTGTCTGTTTTCACAGAACTTAGGTTTGATAATAGACTGATAACAGCTGATTCAATGTAGATTTTCAGCTGTTATCAGCTGAAAATCTACATTGAATCAGCTGTTATCAGTCTGTTATCAAACCTAAGTTCTGTTGTGTGTGCCACTGAAGAAATAAAAGACACGATTAGGTGCATTTGTTCCCTGGTGTGTTATTTTCCTTAGTTACCAATAACTGTACTGTACTGCTTTACCATGACAACTATTTAGTAAGTTCAGAAACTGTGTTTAATTTACTCATGTTTCGGTGTGATACTGTTATTAACTGCAGAGAATTGTGATGCAGGTTTAACAACTGCAGGTTTGAGTTTTAGTAATCTGCAAATGGACCGATTGTAATCTGTCTACTATTAGTTTGTCAGTCACCTCTTCAAACCTTACTCAATAGACAGCATTATGAAGTCAGGCTCACCTTGGCATTCGATGCGAGGCTGCGCAGAGACGGAACAGCAAGCAGGCTAAAGCGCTCGTACAGATATTCATTGGATGAGCTGCCTTTCAGCAGAGCAAAGGGAATGAGATATAACTCTCCTTCCAGAACCAAAACAAGCTGCCTGTGCCTGCCAACTGGACCACTTGAGTGCATCAGACCCTGAAAGTGAATGAAACATAGAGAGATAAACAGACATATAGTTCCAGTTCTAAAATCTGACTGGCTGAACAGAGTCCAAAAGCACTGTAAAATGTGCACATAAATTAACACATCATCAACTGAATTCAGTATTAACAAAGCTTTTATGTTGCTTAGCAAACAAACATTACTGTTAACAGCCTACACCACTTTGTGAAAGAATTGTTTATTGCAATTATTAATAAAAATACATTACTAAACACACACATTTTCTAAGCCGCTTACCTTTCTGGGTCGCAGAGGGAGCTGGGATACTTGGATAAGCTTATGAACAATATTCAATTTATAATAAAATTAATAAAAATTATAATGATACATACCCAGAAGGATAAGCAGTTGGAAAATGTGTGTGTGTATGTGTGTTTGTACAGTGACACATGACCAAATTACGTATTGAACACTGGTCTATTTTTTCATATTGTATTTTGCACTAGAGGCCAGTGATTTCAAAGGCGTTTATGCCTAACAGTCATGGTCAAATTAGTGAAACATACTGCCTCGAATGACTTATTGCATTATTTGAAAAAAGAAAACAGAAAAAACTAAACACAGCACTTAACTATTAATTGCAAATACTCAATGCCTGACTCAACACATTCTGAAATATTAAATGATTAAAGAATTTAACAGGTACAATTTAATGTTAAGACTGAATTGACTGCTTATTCTGAATGCTGAGTCATGCTGATGACTGAATCCAGAAAAAATAAAAACATGGGGAAAAAAAGAAGAATGGTGGGAGTGACAGGAATTCCTTTCTTTTCTAAGGAAGTCAGGCAGTCTCACCCCCTCCATGGGAGCAATCAGGAGGTCGTAGAGGGTACGCAGTGGAGGTTTGTTCGGGGCACTACCAGGGCGATGGGGTGTGGAACAGCCATCTTTGACTGGAGACATGGGGTTACTGAACAGACTGGTCATACTCTGACAACTCCTGCAAGAAACAAAGACAAGTCATGAAGTATGCAAGGCTGTAATATATAAATCTTCTAATGACATAAATCAACACATTCACATGATGTGTGTCTTTGAATATTTGAATAAGATTTAAAGATGTAATGCTGTGAAAAACTTGCTCCAAAATGCAAACGGTTGCAATAATGTGTTTCTCATTAAACCAATAAAGCTTGCTGCACAGAAGTGTGGCTGTGTGGATCAGAATGATACTAACAAAATCCGGCGTGCGTGTGGAGTATGTGTGGCTGCAACTATTTTACCAGAAAAAATGAACCAAAGAGGTATGAGTTGTAATAATCTAATATGACCCCAAGAGGGCAGTGTAGGACTTTTAAGACATCTGCACATTGCAGCTTTTCCCTGCAGACTATGACTATTTCCTTAGGCTCAAATGGGAATCCCTTAAAAATAAACTTGGACCCATATTCATAAAGAAGCAATATAAATCTCAGAGTGAAACTAGGATCTATTCCTGTCAGTGAGGTCATAGTAAATATAAGAGGAATCTGATCCTAGATCAGCAGTCTTTCTCTGAGAGGCTTCATAAATACAGGCCCTGATAGATCTCTCTGGATTGAACATGCCCTGAAAAGTTGTGTAAACTACATCCTGTATATACCTCATTTTCAAAGCAAAACTGACGATTAATCAGTCCAATAAACTTGAAAATTTAGGACCATTTGACAATTCAACAACATAAACTAATAAGGCTACACTGAAGGCAAATGCCAATTTTATAATTTATATGTCATTTATTTTGTATTATTCATTCAATTTATTTTTCATGTCTTCATCTATTCCTAGTATAAGACACAGGCAGTGAATATGAATTTTTCTCATCATAAAGAATAAAGGATTACTTTATTACAAACTCATCATGGGGGATTAATATTCAGATCAACTCAATTAGAGTAGGGACTTAGCCTCTTAATGAAGAGAAGATTACACACGGGCCTGAAAGTGGGCATACATATATGAGAGGGATATCTGCACAGCAGACATTCTCACACCCTCATTCTCACACTCAAACAGGCCTGTGCACTGGTCAGAGGCACCTAGGCAAACTGTTCTACGCCAAACCAGGTATTGGATGACAACTACAATTAATACTGGTCTTCCTTGAAGAGAGGTTAAAAATGGTAAAATGACAGATTTACAAGCCTTTTTTAGGGTTCAAGCATGCAATGCATTGAACCCTATTGGAATTGTCAGGGTTTTTCTTATTATTATTTTTCTTCCCTAAAACGGAACGCACAGCCCAAACCGTAAGTCCTAGAGACACCAAACTTGGTCAACAGGTAGTAGTCCCTCCCGCTACTCAGGCGCAAGGAATCAGCCCAGTCGGCCACAAGGGGGCGCTATTGCACAGGTCAACGCGTTTTGGCCTATAACTCCTAAAAAAAGATTTTTCCTAGACAAGACATATTTTTTTCCTGGTTCCTTGGCCAATCCTTCAGCCAAAAAATTTCAAACTTCACAGGCCATGTTAATAGCCCATTCTGAGGTAGCCATTCGATTTTTGTGTGCATATGTAATTATGGGGCGGAGTTAATGCTACATGGCTGTTTCTCAGCATCCGTACATCTGATCAAGCTGAAACTTTGCAGATACCATCTGTTGGCCAGACTATAATGGAATCCATAAGGACAATTTGATTCACTGAAGTATATGGTTGCCATCGGCCAATCAGCATTTAGCAGGCTTTTGACAGGCTTAACATTGACCAATCATCATGAAACTTAAATGATCTCTACATTTAGCAACTTTCTAACAACCAACCAAGTTTCAAAAGATTTGGCCACTGGGGGGCGCTATTCATAAAAATTAACATATTATTACATATTATTACTCTTTTATTACAAGTTTACTTGAAAGTCCTTGTGTATCATATTAAGTACGTTATTCCAAACAATTTTGCCAATGCATATTTATTACAAAACTGCATAGTTTTTTTGTAATCGGTAACTGTTTAAAAAGCCTACTTTTCGAACTAGTCCCTGGATTTTGATCCAATCTTTGCGAACTTGGTCTAGAACAATTCTTTGGCATCTCTAGGTAAATAATTATCAAAAACATATTGCCTTTCTACTCAGGGTCGTGTGGATCAATCGATTAATTACAGTGACCATGGCATTGTTAGCTTGATTAGCTATAACTCAACAGTGATTGGTCAGATCATGTCCAACCTTTAAGGACTTTTACAAATTTGGACTGTAATGGTGTCTGACAATTTTGGTCCAGATTGGCCTTTAGGGGGCGCTTTAGCACTCAAAAACACTTAAAAATCAATTAAAATGCTATTACAATGTTATTACAAGGTCGACAGATAAACAAATGGTGCCATACGACTCAGGTCACTCACCTGAACAACTTTCTAAGTACATCTTCTGTCACAAATTGTACTGTTTGTCTGGTATTTTGGCTTATTCATTCGAAGACTACATTATACGAAGGCTTATTATACAAAGGTCAAAAGGTCAATCTGACCAAAACTTGGTAAACATCTTTGGATATGGTCCCTGATCAAGAATCATACCATATTGTGGCCTTTTCACTAATTCTGACCCACTTTCACTGAGCTCATACTTTACTTTAGCCCTATGTTTCAACTTTTCATCTTTCTCAACTTTACTCATATTTTGATCAGAGTGAGATAGAGACAAAATTCCTTTTTCTGCTGATTCCTTGGGATGTACTGAACAAGTGCATCTAGTCACTTTTAGCCCCAGCCCCTTAGTTTTTGAGCTAATTTGCATAATGTGAAAAACCTATTCTTGCGAACTAGTCTCAGGATGTTTTGCCAATTATCATCAAATTAGTATCTTAAGATTCAGAAGACACTGATCCTCAATAATTATCAAAAACATTTTGACTTTTCTACTGAGTGTATTGAAAATTAATCAATTAACTACTGCAACCATGGCATTGCTAGCTTGATTTGCTATAACTCAACAGCCATTGGTCAGATCATGTCCATTCTTGGTTGATTTGTGCAACTGAAGACTATAATGGAGGATGCCAAGTTTGGTCCAGATTGGCCTTTAGGGGGCGCTTCAGCACTCAAAAACACTTGAAAATCAATTAAAATGCTATTACAATGTTATTACAAGGTCTGCAGACAAATAATTGGGGCCATTTGACTCAGTTCAGTGACCTGAACAACTTTCTAATTACATGTTATTTGAAAATTTGTACTGCTTGTCTTTTATTTTGGTTTATTCATTCAGAGTCTACATTATACAAAGACTTATTATACAAAGGTCAAAAGGTCAGTCTACTCAAAACTTAGTTTACAGCCTCGTATATGGTCCCTGATCAATAATCTTACCATATTGAAACCTTCTGACAAATTCTGACCCACTTTCACTGAGCTCCTCACACCATTACTGCGCCTTATGAGTGCATTAGGCCTCACTGTGGCCTACATCAAATCAAGGGGTAAATATAGAACCAATCCACTGTGCAAGTGCTACTATGTGAGAAATGCTGCCATTAGACATGTAGTTTTGACATCTATGTTGACGACCTCTTGGATGTTCTACAAACCGGTGTAGATAAACCTATAATGTGTTTAAAGACCTCTACTCATTGTTTAAGGCAACTTAAGATCTTTTGATGAACTGAGTTCCTTTCAGTTCTATTCACTCTGCTTATGAATAAGACCCACAGCTTGAGGCCTTTTTAGGCCTAATGGGCTAAACGAAAAGCTTGAGGTCTTTTTAGGCCTAATGGGCTAAACCTGCAGAAGGGCCCGTACTGCTGTTGCATGCTTGAACCCGCTCATTGCCGCTTGCGGCTATATTTTTATTTATTTTTTTTTAATTAAATGGCTTTTAACAGGTTTCGTTTTTGGGTGCCTCACCTGTTAAATAGGTTGTTTCTGGACACCATGCGCAAAAAATTCATTTTGTTATTGAGCTCTTCAAACTGCTGGTCCAACAAATCTCCTGCTTCACTACCAGTTTCACTGCCAGAGCATCCTCTGAAAAAGACAGAGAGAGAGAAAGAGAAAGAGAGAGAGAGAGGCATTAACGTCCTTCATTCATCAATTATAGTGATCTTCCAATTTGTATTCAAGAATATATAAACAATTTATTACAGATACATATACAAAATAATTCTACACTGTGATGTTAGTACTCTTTATATAGCTTCATATGTTTCAACTAATTTGTAGGAAGCTATAGAAAAGGCCTTGTATTTGAAAAGTGGGGATCAAATCTCAGGCAAATAAGTAGGAACTACTGTAAATAGATCATTTGAATATATTATGTCATTTATTAATATATAACATTAATACATATACAACTGTTTCCGAAAAAGTTGGGACACTGTGCAAAATGTGACTAAAAGTAGCATGCAATGATATGCAAATCATGTGAACCCTATATTTTATTAAAAACAGTACAAGGACAACATATCAAATGCTGAAACTGAGAAATTTTATTGTTTCTTGAAAAATATATGCCCATTTGGAATTTGATGGCAGCAACACGTTCCAAAAAAGTTGGGACAGGGGCATTATTACCAACTATGTTGCATCACCTCTTCTTTTAACAACATTCTGTAAGTGTTTGGGAACTGAGGAGACAAATTGTTGTAGTTTTGAAAGGGAATTGTTTTCCCATTCTTACTTTATATAGGATTTCAGCTGCTCAACAGTTCAAGGTTTCTTTTGTCGTCTTTTTAATTTCATAATGTGCCATATGTTTTCAGTGGGTGAAAGGTCTGAACTGCAGGCAAGCCAGTTTAGCACCCTAACCTTTTTACTATAGAGCCATGCTGTTGTAATATGTGCAGAATGTTGTTTGGCATTGTCTTGCTGAAATAAGCAAGACCTTCCCTGAAAAAGACATTGTCTGAATGGTAACATATGTTGACAAAACCTGTATATATCATTCAGCATTAATGGTGCCTTCACAGATGTACCAGTCACCCGTGTCATACGCACTAATGCACCCCCATAAAATCACACATGCTGGCTTTTGAACTGTATGCGGATAACAAGCCTGATGGTCTTTAGCCCGGAGAACACAGTGTCCATGATTTCCAAAAAGAATTTCCAATTTTGATTCGGTGGACCACAGAATACTTTTCCACTTCACCTCAGTCCATCTCAAATGAGCTCAGGCCCAGAGAAGGTGGCAGCATTTCTGAATCCTGTTTAAATATGATTTCTTCCTTGCATAGTAGAGTTTTAACTTGTGATGAACTGTGTTCACAGACAGTGGTTTTCAGAAGTGTTCCTGAGCCCATGCAATGATTTCCACTCCAGAGTCATATCTGTTTTTAATGCATTGCCACCTGAGGGCCCAAAGATCTTGGCAAGCCAATACTGGTTTTCAGTCTTGTCCCTGGCATACAGCAATTTCTCCGGATTGTCTAAATCTTTTAATTATATTATGTACTGTAGATGATGAAACCCCCAAGTTATTTACTATTTTACATTGAGAAATGTTATTCTTTAATTGTTGCACTATTTGCCCATGCAGTCTTTTACATCTTTATGTCTGAAAGACTCAGCTTCTCTAGGATTCTCTTTTTCTACCCAATCAAGTTACTGACCTGTTGCCAATTAACCTTCAGGTGTTTTTTTTTTTTTAGCATTACATAACTTTACCAGTCTTTTGTTGCTCGTCCCAACTTTTTTAAAACGTGTTGCTGGCATCAAATTCAAAATAGGCATACATTATCAAAAAACAATAAAATTTCTCAGTTTCAGCATTTGATATGTTGCATTGTACTATTTTCAAAAAAATATATGGTTTAAATAATTTTCACATCATTGCATTTTGTTTTCATTTACATTTTGCACAGCGTCCCAACTTTTTTGGAAATGGAGGTACACCAAATTTATACCATATTGCCTGCAATATGAAAGGAAAGGAAGGAACACCTGATGTGCTCAGATCCATGCAGCCATCAAAAATATAAAATGGATGGCTCAGCATATAACAACTCTCACACACACACTCACACACACACACACACAAAAACTTGACATGCTGAATAAAACATTTTAAAAGACCTTTATGTTACTATACCCTTGGTAAAAAAAAAAGGTTCTAGTTATAGTACCAAAAAAGGTTCTATGACTTGTAACAATAGCAGAACCCATGTTTGGTGTTACATAGAACAAATTTTACAAAGTCTTTTTAAAGAAGCATTTACAATAGGTTTTTCATCATAGAGCAGAATCATCATCCATGCAAGGAACCATTCAAGTAAAAAATAAGATAAAAATATAAACTCTATCCTTCACAAAAATGAACAATATATATGATTATTAAATAAATAAAAGCTAAAATATTTACACTGTAATATAGATATAACCAATGTTTTTACTAAGGCACTCTTTAAGAACCATTTTAATGGCGTAGTTTACAGTATTTCAATCCACACTGCATATATTATTATTGAATAAAATAAGAGCAATTATTAATATTGCAAGCGATTCCAAACTTTTGAACAGTAGTGTATGTACTTCAAAAGAACCTACAAGTTAAAGTATTAAAAAGACAGGCATGACTCTGCAAAGGTCTCTCCACTTTCCTTCATACATTTTGAAATCCACATCATCTCAGACCATGTGAACTTCTCTCTTACCCTTCTGGCCTACTTTCTCAAACCTCTCCCTTTCTGCCTCCTTCTCTCTCGCTGGAAAGTCTCAGAGGATGAGGGCTGAATAAAATGCTTCCTTTCACACAGTAGTTTATATCTAAGCTAGTCAGCAGGGGATCTTGACTATCTGCGCCTGCTAATAGCTCAGCTACTACATTGCGTTATCCTTGCCATGGGAACCAGAATAAAACATCTCACTCACTTCCTTCACTATCTGTCTGTCTCTTGCCACATCCACCCATCAAAATTATGAAATGGATGGCTCAGCATCTTACTGCACACATATATGCACTCTTTTTCTCTCTCTCAGATCCATGCAGCCATCAAAAATATAAAATGGATGGTTCAGCATATAACAACTCACACACACACACACACACACACACACAAACTCACACACTTATGCTTCCATACTCCATGCATAGAAAGGAAAGGTTCCCTTGACTTTAAAGCACTTGAAAACTAGACACTTCGAGTTGTGAAGAGAAAAAGAGTTTCGGGGTAACAACAAAAAAGCAAAAAAGAAAGGAACACCTGATGTGCTGAGCATGGAAAAGAGTGTGAGTGCGGGTGTGTGGGGGGTGTGTGTGTGTGTGTGTGTGTGTAAGTGTGTGTGCGTACACGTGTCTGATACAGCCATTACTGGGCGCCGCTTTGCTCATTATCCATTTCAAATGAACCTGTGGAAGTGGAAGCGTCTGCAGAAACCGCAGAGTGAAATGAGGTGAAGCTTAAACGCTGCGCTCAAGCCGAGTTGCAAATTAATTTCCAAACAAATTTGCGGGCAATTTGGCATAAATTTGGTGCTTAGTGGTTTCTCATACAGCAGGAAAAAGAACTGGGCTGCTAGTAAAGAGACTGCTGCTGACAAAACACTCACTATTCACTGATGAATACTGTCTATACTACTGCAGTTTGTTGAGTATATACTATAGCGTCACATACTATAGAGTATATACTTAGTGTCACCTTAAATAGACTTAAAGAACATTTAAAGAAATCATGTTTTTTGTTTTAAGGTATTTTTTGTTTTAAGGTATGTTATTTCAGGTTAGTCATGTCATTCATCCTGAATAACAGTAAGCTGTTTAGGCACCCAAATCTACGTCCCATAATAGCAATAGGCTGTAACTCAGAGTGATGTGTTCATCACTTGACATAACATAAACAGGCAAATGTACAAACTCTTCAGGCCTGTTGAAAATAGATTAGTTTTACCTGGAGAAATAATGTAACTTGTGATTACTGATAAGATCTGTGATTTTAATCTAGCAAAAATTTGTAATGTCTGTAGTATTTTACAGTTCTGCCAAGTTATAATTCCTGAGTAAATTGCATTCTGTAATTCTGTAACCGGGTGCTCCCTCAGTAATCTTGTTTTAATAAACCTGCTAATAATAACAAAACCTGCTAATACACAAAGCTATTGTGTATTGGGTAAGAACATTACCCTCCATGGACTGGGGTTTCATTCCCCACACAGGCATGCACACCAGACTACACCTATAAAAGTCCTTAGGCAAGACTTCTACATTCAACGCTACATTCATCTACCTACACACGTATTTTGATCCTGAATGAATCAACATTATTCTTTACAAATAACATTACAAAATTTCATCTGGTAAAACAAATACAGCTTGAATAGTGCTATTGTTTACACCGATTAGCCATAGCATTAAAATATTGTTTCTACACTCACTGTCCATTTTATCAGCTCCACTTAACATATAGGTGTACTTTGAAGTTCCACAACTACAGACTGTAGTCCATCTGTTTCTCTGCATACTTAGCAAACAGCAACTGTCTCTGATTTTGCATCTACAAGGTAGAGTGGACAGTGAATAAACACAGTGTTTAAAAACTCCAGCAGCACTGCTGTGTCTGATCCACTCGTACCAGCACAAAACACATTAACACGCCACCGCCACATCAGTCACTGCAGTGCTGAGAATGATCCACCACCTAAATAATACCTGCTGTGTGGGGGTCCTGTGGGGCTCCTGACCAGTGATGAACAGGGTAAAAGTGGGCTAAGAAAGCGTGTAGAGATATAGAAGGACTTCAGTCTATAATTGTAGAACTACAAAGTGCACCTATATGGTAAGTTGAGCTGATAAAACGTACAATGAGTGCAGAAACAAGGAGGTGGTTTTAATATTATGGCTGATTGGTGTACATCGAATGTACCACCCCAGTGGAATTGGTGGGACTACTAGCATGTGACAAAAGACATTACTACTATTCAAGAAATGCAATCAAAGATTTTTCCGAACCAAGCACAATGGTGATTAGTAACTTGCTGCATCAATTCAGAGTTTAATAGTTGCTTCCACTGTGGCTTAATTAATCAGATCTGTTTATGTAATATCTAGAAATTGGAATAAAGTGGGACAGGGATAGGATGCAAGTGTGTGTGCTGGGAGGTGTGCATAAGTTGTACCTGCTGTAGAAGGACTCGACTCCTAGGGCCTCCCGGGCACTGCAGATATACTGCTCTAACGAAGAGGTTCCAGCTCCAACACCACCTCCTCCTCCTGCACCTATACCTCCCTCCTGGAAATCTGGGTCTCCCTCTGACATGCCCTCACCCAGGTACACCTCATGGAACTTCACAATACCTGATGGGGAGGAGGAGGTTTCACTTAGATCACACAGACAGATTTTTCACTTAAACTGAAAGCTATTTTTCATTTCACTTGTGCACATGAAAGCTCACACACTCTGCTGAATGTAAACACTGAGTGCAACCCTGTATTGAAGCATCTGCTGAAGTAAATGAATAAAACAATCAGGAGTTAATTGCAGCTTGGAGCATGCCATCTGGCTAAGGAAGCAGATTGGGTGGGGGGGGTAAAAAAAAAAATCTATAGAGCAGTGTAGAAGCACAAAGGGAAACAGGGGAAGACAACAAAAGGACTGAGGGCCAGATGTACTTAGCCTTTTGCACCCATTTCAGGTTCATCCAGAACTGTACAAAACTGAGTGTGAGTCTAAATGCTAACACTAAATGCTCAAAAGTGTGGCAATTTACAAATTTTTGGGCAACCAGTGGCAGCCAGTTTTGAGTGGAATTATTTCTGCCTCTTAATACCAGACATTTCTCACAAGCACGTTGCTGGAAGGCTTTAACAAATGCAGCATACATAACAGCTAGACAAAACCATGGACCTCATACATGCATGAGTATTTATCGACAAAACAACCCTCAATAGGGCTGGGTGATATGGCAAAAATACAGTAGATCCAGTTAAACATGATCAATTATGTTTTTTTAATGAAGCACATAGTTGGTCAGTGTTTTACTGAAAAGTTTTGTCAATATCCATGATATACTCAGAAAGGTGTACTGTGATGTACTGTCACATGCACTATGCACATGAGAAGGCAAAATGAGTGTTATACTACACCCCAAATTATATTTTTTGAGAAGGGAAAGAGAAGTATGCCGTATAATGTATTAATGGAAAAGAAATTCATTTATTTGCACATTTATTAAAACATTTATTATCTCATTGATCTGGGATGGGACTGGGCAAAAGTGCATAAAGTATGGAAAGCCTAATTTCTATATAAAAATAAAATAATAAAAATAGACAACATAGAATTGATAAAACATAATTGAAAACATATATTTATGAACAGTAAGTGATGGTTTATTCTAGTGTGCAGTGGATTATTTTATTAAGAAAAATTTCTTTCTCACTCTTTTAAGCTTTTAAGTCAAAGAGAAATATACTTACATACAGGCATACATAGACAGACAGACACACATGCAGAAGCACACAGGAAATGGGTTGTGCGACAGGGTAGCAGTGATGCCAACCCAATTCAACCAACCCTGGAGTGGCAGGTGGCACTATCAAGTCTCCTTTCAATTCTCTGCATACCCTCCGGGAGGCAGCTGCAGAGGGTGCGTGTGTGTGTGAGTGCACAGACTGAGAAGCACTTTGTAGTTTATAATTGTTTGTTCAATATCAGGCACTATTGAGCATGTGAGTACAAACAGCACAATTTTAGAGCAAATAATTTAAAATACAAATACTCACACAGTAAATATACAACAGAGTAAAATATGTATCAGAAGTGGGAAGCATAGTGTTGCAAACAAAAACAAAAACACCTTCACAAACACATCTTACATGCATAATGTTTATGCCAAAGCTGGGAAGTAGTTTAAGAACCAGCCCTTTTTTATAAGAACCAGTCCACATTTCCATCCATTTGAAAACTAAATGATTATGAATCTCGAGGTGGGCTTTCCTTAGCCTAAACATTAGCATGCCAAAATTCACATTTACCTTTTCCTTGCTAAAACATTTTTATTGTCCTTGTACTCTTTTTGGAAAGGAAAGACTGTTAACTTTACCACTTTTTACCATTGTTCGGAACAGTTAAAGGTAAAAGGTAGAAAAGGACAAGTACTAACAGCTACAAGATGGGTGGATACAAATAGAGGAATCTGGATATTCTGGAGAAAAACTATTCCCATAGTCACCAGAAGCCATAATGACTTAAAGGCATGTAATAATAAAAACTCTTTTTGACAGTTTTGTGAATTTGTTTGGAATTTTCCACTCTGGTGAACCTGGCTGTAACATCTTATTGTATTTTTACATACACCTTGACTACATCACTATAAATCACTGATGATTTAAAGTTTTGCGGAGGTTTTCTTTTATTTTTCCAAAAATATTTGGAAAATAGTGTTCTTTTTTGGGCTTCCTCATCCTATTATTATTGTAATGGAAAATGCCAAATTAACTCCTGTAAACAACTTCATGTGGCAGCATTACCCTGCCCCACAACCCCTTGTGTCACTTGTTTGTTCAATGATTCTGGCACGAGCACCCACACCTTGTTGGTAGAGAAGCATCAATACGCACTCCTACCTGAACCAGGAGCTAGTAGCCAGCTGTAGAGGTAGCCAGCAGCCATTGAGAAGTAGAGCACCAGCGCTCTCTGCTTGTTAATTGAGTCCAGGATGTGCTCCACTGTGGTGGGGCTGTACGGATCTGTCTCATGCTGCCCTGTCTGCCTTTCTACCAGCAAGTCTGCAAATGCACGTGTACGACCTCGCTCTGCTACGGCCAAGGCTTCATCATGATGACCTGATCCAAGAAAACGCGGTGGGAAAGAGACAGAGAGAGAGAGAGAGAGAGAGAGAGAGAGTGAGAGAGAGAGAGAGAGAGAGAGAGAGAGAGAGAGTGCATTATTTTAGTTATTTTGCCAATTTGCCAGTAATATATAATATAGATTGATTGCTGTCTCACAACCAAACCAGAAAAAAAAAATTCAACCACTGTCTCAATCATATTGTCTCAAAACAGCTACTTTCATGCCTCTTCTATAAACAAAATCCTGCCTCTTTTACAGCCATAATTATAGCCAAATCAGACTGCAATATTATTAACATTTTAAATGTTTTAAGAGTTGAAAGGGACTTGGGTGTCCTGTCTGTCTTGGTTGTCCTTGATCTCAGTGCTGTCTTTGACACAGTTAACCTTAAGATTTTATTTGACAGTGTGCAGAACTGAGTTGCCCACTCTGATTCAGTTTTCAAATCCTACTTAAGTGTTTGTGACAATTATGTTGCATGGGGTGCATATATATCCAAGTAGCATATTGTAGGGTACCATAAACCTTGACTCTGGGCCCAAGTTTATTTATTATTGTTTCTCCTTGCTCATATAATTTATGAATGTGCAGACAACACCCAGCTCTATCTGTACTTATCACCTTAGAGTCTCAAAAGAAAGACTCCTTGTCTGTCAAGGCAAAGAATTACATCAAGAATACAGAAGTCTTTTGTGACAGCAACCTCAGTTTTAAGAACTTCTATAAAACATCATACCATCACCTCCATAATATCTCCAAAGTGTGTGACATTCTCTCTATAGCTGGCTGTAAGAAAGTAATACATGCCTTTGTTCATCTAGCCTAGATTACTGCAACGCTCTTTTATCCAACCTACCCAAGAGGTCTATTACTAATCTGCAATGAGTTCAGAATGGCTATGCCAGAATCCTGCATCAGAATGAGGGATCACATTACACTAGCCCTTTAATCCCTTCATTGTCTACTTGTGACTTTTAGAATTGCTTTTTAGATTATTAGTTTTTAAATGTCTTAATAGTCTTGTTCATCTCTGCTTTAGCAAAATGATAGTTTGATATGTCCCTGCTCATTAATCAGCAATGTGCTAATATTTCAGAAATCCAGCTGAAAACCTATTAAACCATTGCCAACTATAGCTTTGACTGATGCTCTTTTTTAAATGTAGTTATTTAACACAGCATGTTCAGTCTCCAAGGACAAATGTACTATTTATCCTCATCATTTTATATTTAACTTTCTATTTTGCATTTTTTTATTTTATAATAATGTTTACACTCAATTCAATCTTCCTGTAAAATTTTGTAAAAAATAGAGCTAGAATGACTTTAAAATAACAATGCTATAAAAAAAGAAATGGGAAAGTTATTTTAGTGAACTGAATATAACTGAGGACCCAAAAGACAACAGCCAAGCGCACGTGGTGAGTACTGAATCACAACACTGCCTTAGGGAAGTTTATTTTCCAACTCCATTATAAATACTTTAAAGTTACTGGCATTGACAAGGGACACAAAGGAAAAATAAATCGAATGAAGATATAGGAAGTGAGTCAGACAAATGGGTTAGAGTCTGTAGTTGCAAGAAAAGGTATGCATTTGGGATGGTAAACAAGTGATAAGGCTGAGGAGAGAGAGGCAGAAGAGCTGGAAGAGAAAGAAGATGAGGGGACGAAATCTCACCTAGAGACACGAGGACTCTCTGCAAAGCCTGATATGAAGACGTCTGCAGGTCGAAGAGGGAAAGCTTGTAGTCAGAGCTGTGCTGGGCCTCGTGCCTTAACGTTTCAAACAGCACAGATGCACGGTAGAGCTGTAAACAGACACACACACACATATACCTTGTTAGCAGCTTATTAGGTGCACCTACCTTGTACCTACAGTTATTGGCCATTTTATCACAAACACTTAACATATAGATACATATTGTAGGTTTACAATTACTGATGGGCACTGCCTACCCTATTCATCTATGGAAAGCTGACCAGATATTATTTGCGTGGTGGACCATTCATAGCACAGCACTGACACTGACACGGTAGTGGTATGTGAGTGTTGTAGTGGTACAACTATTTTAGGTACAGCAGCAATGCTGGGGTTTTACACACTTTAATGTCACTGCTGGGTTAGGAACGGCCCACCAACCAAAAATATCAAGCTGAATATGGTCCTGTGGGCAGAAACTAACCAGTGATGAAGGGTTAAAGAGTGACTAAAATTGTGCTTGAAGAAGTGCTAAAGCAATGGTGCCCAACTTTATCCATAATGGGCCAGTTTGGCTGCTGGTTTCTATTCCAACCAAGCAGGAGCACAGCTCATCAACTGTCTAAATTCTGAGACCAACTGATTAAAAAAGCAGAATCAGGTGTGCTCCTGCTTGTTTAGAATAAGAATCTGCACCCTCACTGGCCCTTTGTGGGTAAGACTGGAAGACATACTAACAAGGTGAGTGTGATAAAGTGGCTACTAAATGTGTATAGACATACACACTATTTCATTAGGTGGACCTAGAAATAATTCATGTCTCACTGAAGGAAAGACATGTTGTGGTATTAGTTTTCACCCCTGGGGGGCAGAAGTATTCTACAGTGCAGAGACAGACAGACAGACAGAGAAAGAGAGAGGTACAGGATAGTGCAATAAATGAGGATAGAGGGTGAGAAAAGCTGAATCACTATTTTGTATCGATTTATTTTGGCTAGCTGATGAAATGGCTGTCCATTTCCAGATTCAGTCTCCTAAGGATTTCACTACAGGTCAGTAGTGCACTCCAAGTGACCAATCAGCATGTGTGTGTGTGTGTGTGTGTGTTTCGTGTGTGAAGATTTGAGAGAGTGTGTGCTAGTGAGAGAAAGTTGTAGGAAGTGTCAGGTCAATTACTGTCAAGGCAGCTTACTTCTGCATGGTAGACAAGTGTTATCTGATGTCTGAAAAGTATAGGTTGGAGGGAGCAAGTGGAGTTAATAATTTGAAGGGCCCTTTTTCTACATTTTCTTGAACTGTTCTCCCCAAAACTTACTATTAATGTCTGAGTGGTGTTGTATTAAAAAAAGCATAATTTGTTTTTACATGACCAACTTCCAACTTCTCTTTATTCCTTAGAATTAATGCTTTAAAACCAAGTGTCTCACTGACAATCCATTCAAAAGGATATTGGTGAATACCCCCCAAACTTGTTTAAATCTGCTGCCAGAGAAGTTACGGTACGTGCACGTCTGCAGAATCGGGGCATTCCGTGTAATACCATGTTTTCTATAACTGCTAAAAGATGCACAATTGTCAGAGACATCATGATTTTTTTCCAAGTAATTTTTCCAAGCTTATTCAGAGATCAATTTGGACTGGTAAGAGGTTATTATTTGTTTGTTTAATGAGAGTAACACTAAATCACTACTGATGTATGACTTATATTCCTATTTATGTGTTTTCTTGTTCAGAAATGTAGTTTGTGACACAAACTAAAGAATGAACCTTACATTTTTAGCTTTGTTAGATTACATTCTTTATATATCAAATCAATGCAGCATCAGCCCTGAGATATCACGTTATTAAAGAAAAACAGCACATTAAATTGCAGAAATAGCCAATTCTGCATCTGCCTTAAAGACAGACCATTTCTGTAACTGTGCCTTTAAGTATATGTAAATGAACTCTGCTCTGACAGGCTGCCCTGTATTAAACGTTTTTTAAAAAGCAGTCCAAGCTGAAATATACGGAACAAACTGTGACATCAGAACGCTTCAGCCACTGCTTCTCTGGAAGACTGCAAAGATACATGTGCTTTCTAGGAGCAATGTTTAATAGTTTTCTCTCATATATCCTGCTACAATCAAATAGGTCATATTAAAATGTATGACACCATAACCATTTCAAATCAAGCTATTTTTGCAGCTTAGTTTCCTTAAATGGACTGCACGGACTTGGCAGAGTACATAAAAATCTTCAGTGAAAAAGCAAGATAAGGGCCTTTTAAATGTTAAACGTTTAATCTGGTATCAATTACATTTGTAGATATCAAGTATAATACTGGTTTGTTGAACGTGTGCTTTTGCATGTATGCTAAACGCACATTTACACACACAAACAAACACACAATAAATACCTGCTGCTGAGCTTCTTCCAGGTTGCCACTCGCCCACAGAGAGAGACCCAGACGATGGCGGATTTTAGCCTCATCCTCACGCCTCCCCAGCTGCTCTGCCAACCTCAATCCTGAAACACACACAGCGACAGCGAGAGAGTGGGAGAGAGAGAGAAAGAGAGAGAGAGAGATGAACTTAATGAACTGGAAACTGGCAGCACAAAGTAAACAGGGGTTTTAAAACAAAAGAATACTTGGAACTGTTCTATGGAGAAAAAAAAAAGTCTGTGGACATGAAAAATGTACCACATAGCAAGTGAACGAATATTTCCACTATATCGCCGCTGTCATAAGTAAACTTCTTATGACAGCGGCGATACCTGCGAAATGTTCTCAGTTTGTATTTATTTTAGACTTTTTAACATTGTTTGGCATATCATGACAAAAAGACCAGAAATGGTCTCAAATTACTTTTAGGCTTTATTTAAGTTCAATTAACAAAGGAAATAAAAAAAACATATATACAAACCAAAAAAAAGAATCATGGCAAAGATTAGGCTTAAGGTAACAGCTTAAGGAGACCTTTAATGTGTGTGCCTTCACAATCAATATATAGGACACAGCAGTGACTGACCAAGCACTGTTCAGTATTTTTGTGTAATCCAGTGTATGTGTGTCTATCATCCATTTATCTCCCACAAATCGCTATTCTTGTCCTCATGCACTCTTCTTTTCTCCCTATGTCTTTCTACTTGCTTTCTTTCTCTCTATCACTCTCTCAGTGTCTGGCATGGCCTGCAGGCACTGTCACGTACAAGAGGATGACATCCGTGCCAAGCGCAGCAAGATACACCCAGAGGACATACGTGTATGCACAAACACACAAACACACACACACACACACACACACACACACACACACACACACACACACACTCCACACATTTACATATTCTTCCCCTAAGGAGAGGCTAAAGAACACTTAAAGAAAAAGCTTAGTGACAGCTGGTGAAGATAAGCTGTGTGGCCCTGGTGATTCAATTCCCTCACATACACAGAAACACACACATACACACACTGCTTACAGTGCTTATCCACACATAACACAGTTCACATATGTAGCGCATGTTAGGCAAACATGGGCAGAAGAATTAGGGCCCTGACACATCAAGTCAGCAGTCGGACTGGCGGACGGCTTATGGCTGTCGGTGGCCGACCAAGTTTGTTTAGTGTGTTCCTAGAGTCTGCCCTCGTCAGCTCTGTTTTGGCCAATGTTGAATTGCCGTCGGTGGTCAGCTATGAGAAAGTTCAGAATCAGCGCACGAGGAGAGAAACAAAACAGAGCAAAGCAAGAAACAGCACTCTCATGTGAGCACACAGGATAAAAGCCTCAACTTCAATACCAGTGCAAATAGCAAGGTTTTAACATTAGGGATCTATAACCCCATTTTCAAAAAAGTTGGGACGCTGCACAAAATGTAAATAAAACAGAATGCAATAATGTGCAAATCATTTAAACCCTATATTAACTGTAAATAGTACAAAGACAAGATATCAAATGTTTAAACTGAGAAATTTGATTTGTTTTTTGAAGAATATATACATATATGTTGAATTTGATGCCAGCAACACGTTCCAAAAAAAGTTGAGACAGGAGCAAAAAAATCTGATAAAGTTGTGTAAAGCTGAAAAAAACACCTGGTGGTTAACTGGCAACATGTCAGTAACATTTTTGGACATAGAAAGTCTTTCAGAAGTAAAGGTGTGGAGGGGTGAAAGACTGCACATGCAAATAGTGCAGCAATCCAAGAATAATGTATCTCAACATAAAATCAAAGCATTCAGGCATTTCATCATCTATGGTACATAATATCATTAAAAGATTAAAAGAATCCAAAGAAATCTCTGTATGGAAGGGACAAGGCCAAACATCAATCTTGGCTGGACATGATCTTCAGGCAGCACTGCATTAAAAACAGTTTTGATTCTGTAGTGGAAATCTCTGCATGGGCTCAGAAACACTTCCGAGAAAACCACTGTCTGTGAACACAGTTTATCAATGCATTCACAAACACAAGATAAAATTCTACCATGCAAAGAAGAAACCACATATAAACAGGATACAGAAATGCCGCCACCTTCTCTGGGCCCAAGCTCATTTAAGATAGGCAAGACTGAGGTGAAGTGGAAAAGTGTCCTGTGGTCCGACAAATCAGAATTTGAAATTTAATGGAAATCATGGAGCTCTGGGCTAAAGAGGAGGGGAACCACTCTTGTTATCAGCTCACGGTTCAAAAGCCAGCATCTGTGATGGTATGGAGGTGCATTAGTGCACATAGCATGGGTGACTTGCACATCTGTGAAGGCACCATTAATGCTAAACAATATATACAGGTTTTGGAGCAACATATGCTGCCATCCAGATGATGCCTTTTTCAGGGAAGGTCTTGCTTATTTCAGCAAGACAATGTCAAACCACATTCTGCACGTATTACAGCAGCATGGTTCCATAGTAAAAGAGTAAGAGAGTGCTAAATTGACCTTCCTGCAGTCCAGACCTGTCACCCACTGAAAACATTTGGTACAATATGAAATGAAAAATATGACAAAAGAGACCCTGAACTGTTGAGTAGCTGAAATTCTGTATCAAGCAACAATGAAAAACAGTTCACTTTCAAAACTACAGCAGTTGGTCTCTTCAGTTCCCAAACACTTAAAAGAGTGTTGTTAAAAGAAGAGGTGATGCAGCACAGTGGTAAACATGTTCCTGTCCCAACTTTTTTGGAATGTGTTGCTGGCATTAAATTCAATTCTTTTTCAAAGAACAATACAATTCCTCAGTCTCAACATTTTATAAGTTGTATTTGGACTATTTTCTATTAAACATGCACTTGATTTACACATCACTGCATTCTGTTTATATTCACATTTTGCACCGCGTCCCAACTTTTTTGAAAATGTGGTTATAATTGTGCTATTCCAATGTCTGATTTTTGTATTTGAAAACCTTATTCACAACAAGTATTTTTTTTTGTTATAAATAACCAAAAAGTGCTCCTGAAAGTGCTCTATTATCAGACTAGCATTAAATAAATCATGGATATTAACTCATTAACTCAAATCACACATTTTAATTCATAAATGTGTAATATACCAACATGCACTTTTAAGCAGCTTTCCACACTTTGTTTTTTTTTTTAATGTTACACTACATTTAGCTTAAACACAGACATTTGAAACTGTAAGACATTCAAACAACATAAAATTAATTTTTGTATACTGCAGTTTTGCAGACTCGTGCCAGCTCCTGTTATAGAGATTAGTTATCTTTTGCACTGGAACATTATTTGCATGTCGGCCATCGGCTGTAGTCTTTGTGGTGTGTTCGAGTGCAAATTTTCACAGCAGATGAGAGGCGGTGGTGAACTGATGGAAGGCGATCATCAGTTGATCTTAGTTGGCGATAGTTCTTCCTCGTGGGTGTATCTGGGCCTTTGAACAGGCACAGGTTAATAAATTCATTAATGACAAACAAATCTACTTCTCCTTGAAATGTCTGCACATCTTCAACATACACACATGCAATGCTGTGCCAAAGACATGAGAAGAGCCCGCTTCCAATTAATTTCTTACACAGTAACACCCAGAAAAACAAGCAACATTGCGTGACCAGCATGACTGGTAAGAGGGAAGAATGAAAGGAAGGAAGAAAGAATTAAGAAAGAAAAGGGGAGAGAGAAAAAGGGAGGGGGGGGGGAGAAAAAGGGAGGGAGAGGGAGGGAGAGAGACGCTAGGGTAAACAACAGACTGCTTTTGACTGGGTAGGCTGGTCAGATATAATTGGCTGTCAATAAAAGCAAAAGTAGGGATACTTTTTGGCTGCAGCACAAAGAATGTACCTGTTATTTTTCACACTGTGTGTGTGTATATATGTGTTGTGTAAAGTTTTGTTTGCTTTGTTGTTTCAAGTGGTTCTTATTTTTGAATTATTTGTTCTTAGTTTTGCATTATTTTGAATTATTATCTGGTATGCAAGGAGGAGGGGTCTGTAAATATTGATAATAAAAAGTAAAGTTTTGAGGTCATGTATTTTCCCTCTAACTGCAGGAGGTCTGATATGAGGTCAGTTTTTGTTTTTCAGACCACTAAGTAAAATTCCAGAGTCAGATGCTTTATGATAATGACATTACCACAATTGGAAATTGACTTAATCATTAAAAAGAGGGCAAAGACAAGCTTAATACCCATGTATTTTTTGTGTGCTTTCCTTAATTACCAAGCTCTTTTGAGCAGAGACTTGTGAGGATAGTTCATACTCCTGATGGGGATGGTTGTCACATGAGGAATGGGTCTGTCTAGCATGTGCTGAGCACTTCTCCAAGACGAGGTCAGTGCATTCATTATAAAAACTGGGCATACCTGGTAAGCAATTGTTTATGTGCCACTATTGTGATTCTGCTGATACTGTGCTGGCCAAAAGACCTATTTTCATATTTTACTCTCTAAAGGTTTCTGTTACTCTTGCATTTAGCTTCTATGCATAAAATTATGATTACATGATCTTGGATAAATTGAACTTAATTCATGAATTAGATCTCATTTCTTGTCATTTTTTGAACAAACTTGCATAAATCTGTTATTCTATTATTCTGTTATTAATATAAGGTTATATGCTGTGTGATCCTGACTATCACAAATGTACATGTTTTCAAAACCAAATATCTCAACATACCAATAGAATAACTATGTACTGCTCCACTCATTTTCCATTGACCATCATTATATCTTGATTTTGATCATATCAGTTATGAAGTTCAGGAGAGAGCTAAAAGAAACCTATGACAACCAAGAAACCAAGGTGGTCCCCACATTTTAAATCAAATTATCACATAGACAACGCATAAGCAACAGAATTAAAACAGTTCATTTACTATTTGTACGTGAATTATTAGGGCTATATATAAGGAAATCGGCATACTTCATCATATACTCACCTTCTTGCAGATACATAACGGCCTGTGAGTAATTCTGTAGTGCATGGTGTGTCCTTCCTAGGCTTCCATAAGCCAGCGTCTTGGCTACCAAATCATTTGTTTGTGCCGCCACACTCAGATGCTGCTCCTGGAACACCACTGCCCTCTCATGGTTACCTAGTGACTCGTATGTCAGCCCCAGGTTGCCATATGCACGTGCCTGACGCGAAGGGCCACCAATCTCCTCAGCAATGTCCAGGTCATGCTGGTGGTACTGCAGTGCCTGGTCCAGGTCACCCATTGCTTGGTAGACGACACCTAGGCCAGAGTTGGCATCTGCTTCCAGGGACCTGTCAGAAGTGTCCCGGGCAATAGCCAACTGCCGCTCCAGACAGGATAGGGCCTGCTCATGGTTGCCTAGCTGGTTATGCAGAGCACCCAGCTCACCATACGCTGCTGCTTTACCTCCGCAACCACCAAGCTCATGAGCAGCAACCAAGCACTTCTCCAGGCACACTAGAGCTTGTTGCAGGTTACCCATTGCTCTGAGGACAGAATCAACAAGAGTTAGAAAACCTGGGCTTCTAACAACAACTCTGGTTAAACCTAACTTACTTAACCTGTGGAAAGTGATACCTACAGAGTCTGTCTGATATTAAAGAAGTGTGCAATATGCAATTGGTACTCTGATCAATCACTGTGTGCTGTGATCCTGACCAATCACACATGTTTACAATATGCATGTGACTTAATGATTTCTGGGAACAAAGAAAAAAAACATATTTCTGTAATTTTTAGTTCATTAGTTAAAACCTCTTTAAACTCCTTGGAACCACAGGTGGTTCCAAAACACACTTTGTCATATTCTTTACTTCATAACTTTAACTAAAACGTATAATAAAAGTTTTTTTTAATCACAATTTTTATTCTACTGAAAGTTGACCCATTTTTCCACAAATCTAAGCTATAAACTGGATCTCAGATGATGTCTTTTCAGTGATATGCACTGTAAAAAATAATTTTTATAAGAAAATACAAAGATCGTCTAAAATTTTTAGCTTTCAGCAGTAAATTGTAAGCATATATTGTTATGTTTATGATCATAAAACACATTTTCTGTTAATTTGAGAGGAGCTTTTACAAAAAAAACACCAACACTTTACATTTATTTCATGCAGTTACTGAATAATTTACCTTAGGATTTGGGCATGTAAATTCAGATGGAAAAACCAAAATATACCCTGTAGAATAACTAGTTAAATGGAATCATCATGCTTATTGTATTTTAAATTGTATCAAAACTATTAGTGAGCTGTTTTAAATTGTATCAAACTGTATTAATACTCTTATTTCTTTGGTAAGTTTATGGTAGAAGTCCTAGCTGTAATAATTTACCACTGAATATTAAGGGTTCACTACTGTATTTTCAATATATTGGAAAGTAAACAGCAATCACACATAGACATATAATTACACTATAGTAGTTTGTCCATGTTTTGCAGCCTTAACACAATACTGAACTACTGTCTTAAATCCCTAAGTGCACCCTTACCTTGCTAGAGTGATGGTTAGCTCTGTTTGGGAATTGTCTAGTTGAGTAAATTATTTACTTGTTTTCAAATATCACAATATTCACATATTATTAAGCCCTAATTAAAACAGGAGCAGTACTTAAGTCTAACAATAATAACTCTTGCAGCGGCCCCTTTAAAACTCATTCACATTGAAATAACATTAGGGGCATGTTGTTTCAAAAGGATAATCAACTATGCAATTAGAGTTTAATTAACTCTCAGTGTTAATGACTCTCAGCTCAGCACTGCAGTGGGTGGGGATCTGTTTTCAGCATGGCAGGAAGACATACCAGACTGTTTCAATATTGTTCACTGCTCCTCTCAAGCACGACTAATATGAAATTCCACCCTTTTTTCCGCTGAGCGGAGCACCAGCCGTACGGAATGAGGGAACAAGGAAAAAACCTTCAGAGGTGTGATTTTGTCTGCCTGCTAGGCATTTTTGTTTCCCCACATTTTTAGTCTACACTTTGTCTCTAACTTGTAGGGTGGGGAAAGAACAAGTGGGAAAAGAAAGCGCTCAGAAAAAGGTCAATTCAAATTAACCTGGTTTCCATTCGGGTTAAGACATTCATTCGTCAAAGCCTCTTTGCATACAGAGAGAACTGTAGTAAAAAAAATGGTGCATGCATCATGCCTCAGCAAGCCTATAAAATCCTGCCTATCTGGTGACTTTATGCAAGGTGGCCCCAACATGCAGGCACCAGCAAAATGAACAATGGTGGATTTCTGAGAAGAAAGAGGGAGTAGTGTGAAAGAGGATAATCATGACTCTTAACAATAAATTGTCTGATAAGCATTAACCTGGTAGTGAAGCAATTACCTTTCAGTGTAACAATCTCAGAATACTAATTTTTAGCCCTTTATGTTCAAAATATTTGATTAATCTGCAGCAATACTAATAAAGGCATCCTATTATTAGACCCCTATTTGCAAATGAGAGGCCATATAAAAAAATTATATATTGATAAAAATGTGAAATAGGCATTTTCAAAGTTGCATCAAAGATGCAAATACAGTGTATACAGTGTGTGTGCATCACTAAATAGTCAGTAACAAGACTTTCTTCACTCAACAAGTAACTGGCAAAAATGTCTCTAAATCTTTCTACAAAAATTATTATAGTTTCTGGAATATTTGTTTCTCCAATCTTGACAATATAGTTATTAGTTAACAATTCTATTACACATATGTTTGTTTCATATAACACAAATAATTGTTTGTTCATGAATCAATTCCATCAAAGCAATTCAACTTTTGCTTTTTATCTAAAAGTGCAAGTATTTATCTACTTATGCAAGTATTTTCTCTTAAGTTTACATTGAACAGGCCATATCAAGCATTGTCTCACCTGTGGCCGTTCCCAAGACCACGATACGCTTTCTCCTGATCCTGCAATCGGTTGAGGCTCTGTGCCACAGCCAGGTATCTCTCATAGTACTTCACAGCTTCTTCATAGTCGCCTAGCACATGATAACAATCACCCAGATTACCAAAAGCTTGTCCACGGTCCAGCACCACTTCATTGCCGCTCAGCTGCTGCAGCATAGCCAGCTGCTGCTCCAGATATCCAATGGCCTCCTCCATGGCCCCCATATTCATCTTGGTGATGCCCATATTGCCATAAACCTGTGCCTCAATGCCAGGATCCCTCATTTGCCTGCTGAGCTCCAGCTGTGCCTCGTAGCATTTGAAAGCAGCAGGATACTGTCCCAGTGCCATGTAGACAGCAGCCAAATGCCCGTGGGCCTTGCCCTCCCCAGGTGCATCAGTCAGCTCCTGGCAAACCTCAAGCTCTTTGGCATGGAATGATAATGCTTCTTCATACCTCTGCATTAACCGGTAAGCAGCACCAAGGGCAGCATAAGCACAGGCTTCCATTTTCCTGTCTTTCACCTACACAACACAGAAACACACAGAAGGGGTGAAGTTAAAAGTATATAACTTACCATGAGTATCTTTGGCTAGAGCCATACCTTGCTTAAAGTTTTCCCAGAATATGCTGATATTTGCAAATATATGAATTGGTATGCTGGAAAAAAGAGTCACTGATCAAAATCTGACACAATTCCTTGTTCTTCTCATATTCTTACCTGGTTGGCAAGAGACAGTTGTTGTTCAAAAAACTGCACTGCTCCTGTCACGTCCTTCTTACAGATGTAGATGTCCCCTAAGTTACCGAGGGCGCGGAACCTAGCCTGGGAGTTCTCCAGTGACTGTGCCAGAGACAGCAGGTACTTCTGGCACTCCTCTGCCTTGTTAAAGTCTCCCAAGGCCTTAAAAGCTAGTCCCAGATTGCAGTATGCCTTGGCCTGGCTCAACCTGTCATGAAGATCCTTGGCAAGGGCCAGATCTTGCTCATAGTATTTCACAGCATCCTGGTAGTTACCAAGGCTGTAGTGCGCATATCCTAAATTGTGACACACTTTGCCCTCGCTCTCCATGTCCTGCAAGTCAGGGGACAGTCGAAGGTATTGTTCATAGTAGGGTACAGACTGAGCAAACTCGCCTCTGGAACAGTGGAAATTCCCTAGGTTGCCCAATGCCCGAGCTTCACTCTGGATGTCCCGCAGCTCACGGGCAATGTTGAGATGGTTCTGGTAGTGCTGCAGGGCACGGTCATGAGCACCCAGGGCCTGGTATGCTACAGCCAGGTTCCCATGTGTGGATGCCTGTGAGGCCCGGTCATTGACTTCCATGGAAATCTGGAGCTCCTGCCGGTGGTAGCGAACAGCCTGGTCAAAAATTCCCAGGGCGTTATAGGCGTTGCCCATGTTGCCATATGCTCGACCCTGGGCAGCATAGTCATTAAGCTCCTGCGCAATGGTAAGGTGGGTTTTGTGGAGCTTCAGTGCAGTTTCAAAGTCACCTTTCATTTGGTGAATGATACCTACAGGACAGGACAGTGAGATTATTATAACAAGTATTGTTAAAAAAAGTATCATTTCAAATGTTCTGGACACTACTAATATTTTTTTTCTTGCACTACAATAGTATGTTAACAGTTGTACATGCCATATAACACATACAATATAATACACATCATAAAATCCATGTAGCCCACTAAAAAGACTTATAAGCCCTAACAGCTTGGTTTTGTGCAAAACATAATTACAGACACAAAATGTCTGTTTGTCTGAGATCTAGAATCCTAGAGTGTTTATGAAATTATACCAAATAGTCTGTTCGTCTTTAAAAAATATCCTGACAAGACTGGCAACTCAAAAAATGCTATAAAGTGTACAGTATTTTAAGAAAGACTGCTTACCCAGAGACTTAAAGAAATATGGCCTCAATGTGATATGTGAGTAACACAAGAATTATAAATTACTGACATGTCTATTCTATATGTACTCTTCTTTTATTTTATTATAACTTGTTTGATGGTTTCAAAAATCAACCTCTTCTTTCTTTTCACATATAGGGCTTTAAGTTCATCCCAGCACCCTACTTCATAAAATAATAATTGCACTCGTAATATCAAAGCATGTTGGCTGCCTCATAGGGTAGTAACAAGTCAGGGAATGGCTGCCAGAACGATAGCAGGAAGGAAGCTGCAAGGGTAGTGATTATTTTTTTTATTATTTTCTGCAAAGATCATTGCAGAGTATACAACAAGAGATTTTGTCTACACAGATGCACAATAATTCTTGAAGGCTAATGGAACCAATAAACCAACATTGGTTTTCTATCAGAGGTGTGTATGATATAACCATGCTAGTTCATATATGATTATACTTCTTGCTAGCACTAGTTCAAAAAGGGTCATGTTTGCAAACTACATATTCACAAAGCAGAGAAATTATAAACATAAATAAAAGGGACATGGATTATAATTGAGCTGTGCTTTATATGAAACTGTTCCCTACATTTAAAGGCATTTGATCTTGAATTACACAACAGCACATCAACGTGGATACCTCTAGTTGGTAAAGGTGCATATACAATTTGCTAAACACATCTTGACAATCACTGCAATGAGGCAGTTCAGTTCAAATATGTCTGTCTGTCTGTCTCTCTCTCGCTCTCTAACACACTTCTGTACACACACAGGGATAATGCCATAAGTGGATTGGCCGTGTATACAGCCCTTAAGGACACAGCCCTTGCTGAAATTCTTGTAATTGGCAGAATTCCTCTTAGCTAGCTCCAATTGTACCATGCAAACAGGTCAGAATCCTTTAATGATTCCCAATGGGGGCTGCTTTTATTATGTTATGTATAAATATTCAGTACTGGGAAAGTAGATGATATAGGAGACAGCGGCAGCCTAGCAGGTTTGGTTCATGACAACTGGCCTTAGAGTTTGTCAGAAGGACTAGGTGAAAAGCAAATATAAATAATGCAAATATAAACACGAAAATCACATCAGAGCAATTCATGGGATGCACTTAACCGTATACACATATCCACACATGCATGATCCATAACAGTCAATTGAACACTTTCAGCATCAGCCTGTCAGGCATTACAGAGCTGGGCAATGGGAAGCAACATATTAACATTCACATCATGAAATGCTGTATGAAACTCGACCATCTACAGTGTTACTATACAGTACTGCCCATTATTACTTTTAAAGGGTAATCAAAATGGCTCCACACAATAATTACCAAAGCTGTTCTGTGCTAATACTTAGGTTCTGACTCACTAACATCAATGCTTTACACACTTTTTATAGTAGGACTGTGGAACAGATTGGCCAAAAAACACCTGTGAGTACAGCAGCAGTGTCGCCAGCCAAATAAAACTCCGTCCCCGAGATCATATAAACTCAGAAGAGTTACAAGAACAGAGGCTAGCCCTTCACAAAAAGCCCGGCTGGAATACATTTAGATCTTCTGTGTGTTTTGTTCCACTTCCAGGAATTGCTCAGCTTTCTCCCGGTCCTTGGGTCTCACGTCTTGTACTCTGGTCAGCAAGGAATTCAGACAATAGAGGCCTGAGCAAGGGCGGGGGGTGCAGAGGATTAAAACAAAAGACTATCCCACACTATTGTAAGAGCTTTTTTGAGTTTTTATGCTCTCAACTCTGACTTCTGCTAGAACTTAAAGGACGGCCTGACTTGTTGTCAGTTTGCATTAGCCAAGTCTTGTGTGAAGGAGATATGGCCTCATAGTGATGACAAGCGAAAGAGATGAGAGCGGTTGTTTGGGTGAATCAATATAGCCTTTTCACTGCAGTTTTTCCAACTCCAAAGTGGGCATAGCTAAGAGGATTTCATACATGGGCCTTCAGTTAAAAGGCTGGGGTGACACCGCTAGAGCCCCATGCCCCCGTTCACCCCTTCCCTCACATCCACAAATATCTGTCTGTGTTCAGGGTAATCCCACTGATATATTCACACAAGGTTGCGGATGATTGATATTAAGTTGACTGTAACTCACACTATGAGTTACAGTTAACTTACGGCCATGTTTTTATTTATTTTATTTATTTTTTTTATTTAAGTATAACCCAATACCCAGAATTGGTAACTAGGCGATAACAGCAGAAAGCACTGCTGCGATTCACTGATGTAATCAACTACACTCATGTAATTTTTTACTTAATGTGCCACTAGCGTATATAGAATAAAGTACCTGAGATTGAATTACACAGCTAAAGCCATACACCATTAGTCTACTGGCTACTGTTATCTTTAGCCTATTATTGTTATAGACCTATTAGGCTATATAAAGTTGTCTTTTGTTTTAGCTACAACTTCAAAATCATTTAAGCTCATTTATGTGTTGTGAGGGAAAATATTCCATGTATGGAAGGCCACAATATGGCCTTACCTGTTTAGCAATTGGTGCTAATGAAGATCCCACTTTTAATGAATCGTGGAAAATACACTCTTTATTGGAACAAATGTAATTTACATTAACTTTGTATAATGCTACAGAAGTGCTTTTAAGAAAAGAGATCCTCTAACTTAATTAACTTAATACTAAATAATCATCAGTAGCAGCCCTAATTGCTGATCACATCATAAGAACAGTAGCTAAACATAGCCTAAAGGTAACATAAGAACAAGTCGCTAGCCACTCAGCAAAGCACACACTAAAAAAAGATAAAGATTTTTGATTATATTTTGTTAGGACTGACATCATGCCATTTCTACTTTTAACTGAAGAAATAGTTTTCATGTTGATTAATGTGTACACTGTACTCCCATCACACTTTTCCATAATATTTCTCTATCTTGACAAATTCTTCTTTATTTCTATTAAATTTGAGCCAATTCAAGAACAGTTGCCCTCCTTTTAACAAAAAACTCCTTATTTTCCTAAAACATCACCTTCAAGCTTCCAACCATCACACCATGTATTCTTTTTTCAATTATTTGTTCGGTGAGCCTTTAAATGTTGTCAATACAGTGTTGTTTAGCAATATAATATAAATAATTATTGCCACATATTTTTTGGCTATTCTGTCAAAATGACTATTTGCAGCATTAATGCAATAGAGAATGAGATCCTTGACATTCCTATGCATCAACCTGTATTCAAACTGCATCCAGAAAACCTTATACAAATTAACCATGTTAGGTAACTTTCCATTCAGGGTTGTTTGGACAGATTCATGTGAACTGGCAATTTAAAAAGTTTCCTTTTAAAGTAAAATAAGTACAATGGTTAACTCTAAGCAAGACCATTGAAGAATGCAACACAATTCCACATTTGACAAAGGGAGAGAGCTTTGGTTCTGCTCTCCTCGTGGCACTATGTGGCCCTAGTGGGGCAAAACCATATCAAAGTCTCTCGCTCTATCCTCTATGGCTTTCAAGGCACAAAAGCTAATGTGACACATTTGCACTCCGCCATGGCCATAAATAGCAGACAGGCAAGGAGGAATTTAAGATTGGCTGGGTTTTAAAGGATAACCCTCAAGCCTTCATTCCAGTGCAGGGTGCATTCCTGGTCATGGTTGCAACCAGGAACTGATGCTTTTCAGCACTGCCCTACAGCTGTTTGGCGACGTAGTGAAAACCAGCACTGGACAACAAAGGAGAGCTGGAGGTTGAGGAAGAGGCTGATGCCTTAAGGAAAGATTCTATGCCTTGGGTCATTGGTATTTTCTGAATCATGCCCAGTAAATCATGTCTTATAATGAGGGAACATGCATAAACATTACTTATGCAGCAATGGGAGATTTCTTGTGATTGTTATTTTGCAATAGCAAAGTTTTTCAGAGTACAGTACAGAGCAGGCGACAAAGACAATAATACAGGTCTCACTCTGTGGGCCAAATAAACACACCGCTATTACACACTTAGGCCTGGTGGGTAGGCCTGACCTTGTTGGTATATTCTTATCTTGGCTGATTCTGATTATGAACACCTACAGATCAAGGTTATTTTGATTTTTACAATTTTTACTACTACTTTATAATACTAATTAGGGCCGCAATGAATATTCAATAAAATTTCATAACAAATAATTGAAAATGAAACCACCATGTGAATAACCCCACACATCCATGCACCAGCTTTTATCAGTGCCTATATATCACATAAAAACAATGGTTTATGGTTAGCCTTTTTTTTAAATCTTCATTCAAATGGTCCTTTTCTGTGAAATCCTGAGGTTTCTCTCGTCACTTCAGTGCTTTATTTAGCTAGAAAGACAGTAAAGGTCATTTAAAAGGCCTGTCACTATCTCTGCTTTTGAACGAGACACAGCCAGTCATGCTTGGTTGGTGCTGTTTGAAAACTCAGAAAGTAGCCATTTAGAAACAGTTCAGAAAACAACTGCCTCAAAATAAAATTTTATGAATAAAATGTAAAGCTAACAAAACTTCACCTAAAAATGCCCAACTCAATTTTCATTTAGGATCAGCTTTGTAAGCTTTACATTTTATAAATTAAATGTAAAGCTTACAAAGCTGATCCTGAATGAAAATTGA